GGGGTTGCTTGTTTTTTTTTTTTTTTTTTTTGGGGGGGGGGGGGGGGGGGGGCGGCGGTGGGGAATGGTATAGAAGGATGGTCCGATGTTGCGTGGCAAGATGGGGTGGCGTGCACCGACTTGGCCCACGGCGAGACCACCGACATTCAGTACTCCCCACACACCGCGATCCCCCGCAACACCATGCCATCCACGGCTCACCTGCTTCCACAGCGCACCCCGCGGTGGCCCCTGCGGCCAGCAGGCCCAGGGAGACCCGCCACTGGGGCACCCCTGGGGGCAGGGACGGCGCGGGAGACTCCAGGCTGCTGGCAATGGTGAACACTGGGGGTGGCAGGGGGTGCCTCCGCCGGCCGGCACCCTCGCCCGCGCCGGAGGCCATGGACGCGCTGGCGAAGGGCTGTACGCGCCCTGCCTTCCCCCGTGAGCGAGGCGCGACCCTGCGGAGGAGGGGTCGGCTCACATCCACCAGCTCGAAGGCATGCGGCTCGAGGCTGACCCTCCCCGCTCTCCTCCGATCACTGGGGATGAGCATGGACATGGCGCGTCCTGGAAACTCTGCACAAGGTCAATGGGCGTGGCGCGGGCCTGAAGCGCGGTGTGGCGCCCAGAGCATTGCACTGCCCGATCGCGTCGACCAGGGGATCGCAGCACGCGCAGCTGCGCAGCACACGGGAGCGCTTGCATGCCGGAGATCTTTTTGTGACGAACCGAAACCAGTGTAGGAATATTCGGAACCCTTCAGAAGCTCAACCTTGTTTCTTTTCGGTTCAAGTGAATTGCTGGGTGCATCCACTGCCACCAGAACGTGTGAGAGGCGCCGACACGGCAGGAACCTGGAGCTTCGTGCTTGCTCGACAGGGGCGATGTGATTGAAGCCCTTGGATTTTCGATCCCCCCCAAAGTCCTGTCGGGGCGCTTAACTCGCCCGTCCCATCCTCCAGCAAGCTGCTGGGGCTCACGGGCTGCCTGCAGGCTGCCGGTGCGAGGCGTTGAGCCGGGCCGAAAGGGCGCGGGGCCTGCACCATGGTCCTCATAGGCACCGCCACCCTCACCGGGTCTCGGTACGGCAACCTGAACCAGGACTTTGTGGTGAGTGCCTGGGAGCGGCGGGTCGGGGGCACGGGCCGCGGCCGGAATATACCCGCAATGGGAGTTGGCGCGTGGGAGGCGAACAGCATGAGCATGAACTGTTTTTTACTGGGCAGGTGCAGATCCGGGCTGCCTGAGATGTCGCCCGCCCCCATTACTTCTCATGGATTGGTGCATGTTAGGGTGCACTCGGGCATTCGAGCATCCTGGAGCACATGTGCTCCACACCCCGGCTTAGATTCCATCCCACCCCGCCCCGATCCCGCCAGTCACCCCCTTCCGTTCTCCCCCCTCTCCAACCCTCCTCCTTCCCCTTCGCAGGTGGTGGAGCAGCTGCTGACCGCGCGGCAGATGAAGGCCCTGAAGCTGCCGCAGTGCTACGTGGCGGCCGTGCTGGACGGGCACGGGATGCTGGGCGAGGACGCCTCGCGCGAGGCGGGGCGCGCCATCGCCGCCTCGCTCCGCACCGCGCCCGCGCTGCACACGCGCGGCCTGGCGGCGCTGTCCGACGCGGAGGTGGAGGCGCTGCTGGGCGCGGCCTTCCAGGCGGGGCACAAGGCCGCGCTGGGCGTGGCCGCGCACGCGCCGGGGGTGTACACCTACCCGCGCGGCGCGCGCGGCGCGCAGACCTACGTGCTCAAGTCCCTGGACGGCGGGGACAAGGCGTACATCGACCCCCACCTCGGCGCGCGCATCCTGGAGTACGGCACCACCGCCACGGTGGCGCTGGTGCAGGGCCGCGCGCTGGCGCTGGCCAACGTGGGCGACAGCCTGGCGGTTGTGGGGCGCGAGGAGGGCGGCGCCTACCACGTGGACCTGGTGTCCACGCGCCACTACGGCGCCGACTCGGGGGAGCGCGCGCGGCTGGCGGCCGAGGTGGGCGACGCCGTGGCGGTGGAGAGCGAGGACGGGTACATCAGCGTGCGGGAGGGGCGCATGCGCGGCTACCAGCTGGCCATGACGCGCGCGCTGGGGCACCGGCTGCTCAGCAAGCTCGGCGTGTCACAGGCCCCCTCCGTGGTGCGGCGCACGCTGGGGCCGGACGACCTCTGCCTCATCCTGGCCTCCGACGGCGTGTGGGAGGTGTTCTCCCCCTCCGAGGCCGTTCTCACGCTGTGCGACCACCTGGCCGCGGGGCACTCCGCGCCGGAGGCCGCACTGGACCTCGTGCGCACCGCGGTGGAGGTCAGCGACGGCACCAACGTGGACATCGGGGCGGACAACACCACCGCCGCCGTGTTTGTCTTTGACGACCTCCTGGACTGAGGAGACTGTGTGTGTCGCGCGCCGGCGCACCGCCCCGCAAGGGGCGCAGGGCGGGACCCGGCGCGCTCCTCAGCCACCACGACGATGTCGGTCCCGCCGCCGGCGTGCGCGGGAGCCGTTGCACGGGAGCGCCAGGCCCCGGGCCGCTGATTTTTAATAGAAGGAGACGTTGCGGCGGGTCCCGAGCGCCTGGGCGCCGGGACGCGCGATCCCCTGGGTTCCCACCACCCCCACCCGTGGGCGAGAGGGCGCAGAGAGAGAGAGAGACGCATGCCCGGCATGCACCCATTGGACCTTCGTTGGTACGTACCAGACATTCCTGCATGCTGCCCCACTTCTTCGCCTGGAATCCTCGCATCAAACCACAACCCCAGCTGGCGCGAAATAAATTCACAGGCATGGTGAACCTTCTCACCACGTCCCCAGTCAGACCTTGTACAAGTATTCTTCATGCACTGGTCGATATGAGCGAGAGAAACTCAGCTGGGAAAAGAGGGTCGGTAAACCCAGCCAGCCTGCTGTAGCGTGTAGGGGCTCAGTGCCCTGCCCCGCAGCAACTCCCGCCGTTTCCTCCTGGAGGGCGACGTTCCCACGCACGATCGAGGTCCCGATGCACCCACACCATGAACACGCTGAGCGGAATTGCACGCCGTACTTATACTGCATACCGCTCCAAAGACCAGATCCATACAAGAGCAGCGATGCAGGGCTCCGTCCGTCCGACCCAGATTGCCGCTCCGACACCGGCGTGTCGGAGCCGGCGGGTGGGGTGTATCGGGCCCATGCACCCGGCCTTCAGCAGCGCAGCTGGTACTGTGCATGCGCAGCGACGTCCTAATGGGCTTCACATGCGAGTGCACAGCAGCAAGCATGCCTCGAAATCTACAGCGGTGGAGAAGGTAAGCGTGGTCGCCGGGCGCTGCTCACTGCCAGCTCCCAACTCGCGATCTCAGCCCACCCCGTCCCCCAAACCCAATGTGAAGATGGAGGCCATGGTTCATGAGTACTTCCAAAGAGTGCTCACGCGAGCCGATGGGGACACCGCCAGCCGGATCCTGCATCCCAGCGTGGAGCATCGAGACATGGTCCGAGACATCGGCTACCAGGGGTGAGCAGGGAAGGTTGCGCCCCGAGGGACACTGATCGCATGCATGCGGCCTTCGGTGGAGCCATTGCAGTTATTAACAACAAAATGGTTGTTTGTGATGGTTCACATCATGTCTGCCAGGAACCACTCTTGAGTACACAGTCCCATCCGGCGGTGCAGCTGCCAACGACTCGCCATCCGCCAGCTCGTATTTCAATCATGAGTGCACCAGCCCATCATTCTGATCGGCAACATCACCCTTAACAACTCATACTTGCAGGGTGAGGGAAGTCTTGGAGTACGTTCACCAAGTGAAGAAGTCCTACCCCGACCTTTGGGTGGAAGCCACGGAATTTGGGCCTGCCGAAGGCGGCCAGGCAATCTTTGCAGCTTTTGAGGGACTGGCCACCGAGAAGACGCCCCTTTTCAAAGGGATCGATCTCTTCCGATTCAATGATGACATCACCCGCATCACAGAAGTGGAAGGTGAGAGCACGCCCCTTGCATTGCTGTTTGTTACAAAACCCTAACTGTTTGGGATCACGAGCAACTGGGTAGCTCCTGCTACTCCTTGAGATGGCGCCAAGTAGCAGTCCATGGTCCTGTCTGGGATCCCTGTCTTTATGCATCCTTCCAATGTCTGCACCTCAAGCACCTTGCGCACGCCTCCCCTTCACACAGTGTACCGGAGCAACTGGCAGGGAGCCAAGGGTCACCAAGAAAGGAAGAAAGCTGTTGCCAACGGGTCCAACGGCAACCCCGCTCCCAACTGAATGCACATCCTGGGGAGGTTTCAGAGACCACCTGGAATACTTGAATGATCTGTGCGCTGCTGATATGACAGCTGCACCACTAGCGCTCACTAGGTCTGACCAGTGCATATGAATGGCTTGTTTGACATGTGCGGTTTTCAAGGGCCGTGGGAGATGTAAGATGGAATACGCTTGCTGGCCAGCTGTGGGGTGATGTAGCAGCAATCGGAGCAGGTCAGGTGTCGCATCTTGGCGACATCGCATTCGACACCGACACCAATGGTCATGCAAAGGCACGCCTGTCGGAGCTCCAGTCACAATTCTCACACCCATGGCGACATTCAAGCGCATCGTACCTCCTTCCACGTTGTACTCTGGTCTCTCGGCATGGGGAGCACTGTCCGCTCCCAGAGCGTGCAGCGTCAGGAGCGTGCACTGGAACGGGGGCGTGCCCCTTCGGAGGTCCAGAGGGTGCGATAAACCCAAACCATATAAACAGGGTGTTTCAATTAGGGCCTACAAGCCAACTGAGAAGCTGCAGGACTGGCGAGTGCAGCAGGTACGGTCGGGGTGGGACAACTCGGGGCTCCTCCTGGAGAAGTTGGGGCTTCACCTCCCCTTTCGCCTGTGCGAGTGGTTGACAGATGAAGTTTTAAGGCCACATCAACCCCGTTTACCCCTCCACCGATGCCGCATTGCAGATGGTGGACCACGTGAAGAAGTATTACAATGATTTCCTCACGCGGGGGAAGGAGGCACTGGCATCCCAGCTCTTTGATGACGACGTCGTGCATAAGGACCTCGTCTGGGTGCGCAGGGATGGCAAGGGCTCAGCCTGGGTGGGATGGCGATCGGCCGCAGCGCTGCCCCCATTCCCCCATCGCACCCCCCACAAATCCCCCGGAATTGCTTGGCAGGATCCAGCACACCCTACTGTGGGAGTGCATGGGATGCAGCACTACCTTCACGACCTCAGGACAGCCTTCCCTGACTTCACCATAGAGGTGCCGACTGAAAATTCTAGATGGGGAGCAGGAGGGGCTTCACTGGCAGTACACCCTGGCAGGAGGCCCCTGTGCGCTGTCACCCGCTCATCTTTGCACGTGGGCCTCTAGTATGGCAACATACCCTGCTCACCAATCTCGTCTCCCTCGTGCACACAGATTGACCAGATTGCCACCTGCGACATGAACTCCCTGATGGTGCAGTACAGCGGGACTGCGACGGGGCTGGGCGAATACCATTCGCACAAGCCCTCCCACCATGTCTCGGCCTTCTCCGGGATCAATTTGGTTCGCTTCAATCACGACCGATCCAAGATCGTGGAGATCCAGGGTAAGAGCGTCTGTCGATGCGCGAACGGGGCACATCGGGAATGTCGATGCCTGCTCATGTGGTACGCAGGCAGGTGTTGCCATTGCATTGTGAACAGTTCCCCGGCCTCTCTGGGCACCTTCTGCTCCTCCGCTCACGAGTCCAAACCCCACCCACGGCTGAGACAGTGTATCGGAGTGCCTTTGCTGAGGACCGACTGGAGCTGGGGGAGAGGGAGCTGCATGGGGAGGGAGGCTTCCGGGAGCTCCGCCTCAGGCGCCTCGTCTGACACTGTTTCTAGCATGGTTGAGTGCAGAAGATAGTCTGTTTGGCCATTCCCAGGGCACCTCCCCCTGTGCCGCCCTGGGCAGCAGTGTTGAACCTTGGCCAAGGTCCCAAAACAAGCGTCCGGCGGGGCAGGCCAACAGGATACTCACAGCCAAGAGCACGGGACAGGTGCCTGTGGGTGCAGCCCATCTTGTGGTTCCTCAACGTCACCTAAGGTCCGGCCCCGGTCTGCCGCCCCGGGGCCTGGCCACGCCCCCGCCCCCGCCCCAGGCTGTGCATGGACTGCTGGGGCTGCTGCTGGCGAGGCACATGCGGCCCGCGCTGACCAGGCGACCCGCCGTGCTCGTGGCCGGGGCCTCGCTTGACTCCTTGAGGGGGTCCGCCCCTCCCGCCACCATAGTTCCGGGGCGGCGTGGGGGCATACGGCGCGGTCGGTCCCTGCGGCCGACCGGCGCCGCCGCCGCAATGACCGGCGTGTGCCGACCGTGCGCCGGCCAGCATGCCCGCCACCGTCCTCACCGCATCTGTGGAGAGGAGAGGGGGAGGGAGGGAAGGTGAGATGCGGCGATCGTTCCACCCCCTCTGACTCACGACCAGCGCCGGCCCCCCCTCAGCCACCCGCTCCCAGACGCCTCTCCCTCCGGACCGCCCAGCCCTCTCACACCCCTAAACCCCTGTGCTCGCACCCGTGTGCTCGGGGCTCAGGCTGCCCCTCGCATCCTGCACCGTGCACTGAAAAGCGCCGGCCAGTCGCGCGCGGAGCCTGGCCAGCGGCGCCACCAGGCCGGGGTCGACGCGGAATCTGAGCCACTCGTCCATCACCAGGCAGGCCGCCGCGGGGCGCGTGGCCCGGCGACCAACCCCGTCGTCAGGCTCGCCCTCGCTGTCCTCGTCCTCGCTTTCCTCCTGCTTCGTCAGCTGCACCGAGGCGGCCACCAGCAGCAGGGCCAGGGCCGGCACCTCGGAGCACGCCTTGACGTCTGCAAGGGAGCAAGGATGGGAGGTGTGGCGAGGGCAGGCAGGGGCCGGGCTGGGACCCAAGCGCTGCGCTGCAGCATGAGGGCACTGCAGGCGAGGGGGAGTCCCGCCTTTGCCGCTGCCTTGGGCATATGACAGAGACCGATTGAATTACCATCGAGAGGTCATGCACATCGACCTTCGACATGCAATGAATGGTGGCCGAGGGTGGCCTAACAACAAGGTCACCTGCACCCTCCCTCGCAATCATCACTCACAGAGGGAGGCATCGCCCCGGGTCAAGTCGTCGATGACCAGCAGTCTGTTCTCCTGGACATCGGTGCCTCGGCTGTCTGCTTCGCGATCCTTCAACCCCATCCTGGATGGGGGTTGGGTGACAGCAATGAATGAGGGAGTTTGACGAGGGCATCCCGAGAGTCTCCTTTGATTGATCCTCGACGCAAGCGTATCTGTATCCCGATCTTGTAGGACACCTCCGGACCCCCCAACCTCACTTGGCATTGACGGAGCTAGGGTGGATGCGGACCTTTTCGCCTCGTCTCGTCATCACCATGGCACGGCCGGAGGTGGGCGGCAGGAGCCGCCCCACCATGGGGTACAGGCCCGCTGCCTGCGGAACAGGGAGGAATGAAGGAACCAAGTCATACAGGTAGCCGTATGCTGGTCAGCATGTGCTGAGCTGGGAGAAGACGTGCTGTTTCAAGACAGAAGATGCCCTGAGGTCCTCCTTCCCCTTATTAATACCAGAGCGACCGGCATCCCATGCCAACAAGGGCACCTACAGCCGGCCCTCAGTTCCATGCCAGGTCTCATCATTTGGCCCTGGACACTCACCAGGACGGCACGGACCAGCCCGAGATCGGCGGCGGAGCTGGACGCCTCCCCCACGTCCCTGATGAATCCGAGGCGCTGGAGCTCCGAGGCCAGCTGGCCCCTCATCCCATCCACCATGGCCATGGTGGAGGGCGAGATGAAGTTCTGGGCGCAGAACCCGCGCTCCCTTCCGTTCTGGAGAGGAATGGGTGGGAGAGTTGGCCAGTGACGTGTGGTGCACAGGGGATCGGCAGGCTGGCGGATCGCAACCTCATCTTGCCAGCGAAAGACGCTCAACCAGAAGCTTTGCGTCCTCGAACACCTCGGTCCCGGGCACCCCACCCACCCTCTGCCCCCTACCCTTCTGGCATCCTTGTAGCACTGGAAGGCATGGAGGCAGGCCATGTGGTCCGACGCACCCCCGATGGCCTCTGCCATCTGGCAGCGCAGGTTCCAGGCAGCCGCCCTGGCGTCAAACGCGGTGGGCAGCACCCAAGGCTCCCTGCATGGAGCGGGGTTGAAGGGTTGCGAGTGAAGGGTTGCGAGTGAGGAGTCTACGAGGGCTCCAAGCTTTTAGACCATGGCAGCATAGGTAGCTCGATACGGACCAGCAAGCGTGGCAGGGACAGATACAAAGGGTGTCACTCCCTGTACACCGCGGGGGGCCATGCAGGAACGGGTCACCTGTAGGCCTTGAAGCAGGCCAGGGTCAGGATGGGGTCCAGGCACTTGAACATCGCGCCATACAGCAGCAGCTTGCCCAGGGCCGGGGGCAGCGGGATGTTGGCCAGGTGGCGCCCCAGCGGCGTGAGGTGCTCGGCCTCGTCCAGCGCGCCTGCGTGGTCGGCATGAATGAGAAGGTGGCACTTGGTGGAGGACAGAGGAGAAGCTCATGGACTGCTCAGTTCCCACGGAGCTAGAAATGGCGAGAACAGGCGGCACCTCCAAGCCGCTCTCAACGGCACCGCCAGCCGACCATCGCCATTCACTCGCGCGATAGCACCCACGATGCCCCACAGCGATCAGCCCCACCACCCACCAATGTCTTCAAGGAGCTGGCGGGCAGCCTTGATGGCCTGGGGCACAGGAGGGTCGATGGCCTTGGCCAGGAACTCGGCAATGGGCAGGCTCTGCCCCTCGACCTCCAGCAGCTTGATCTGTAGAGGTGATGAGGGAGGGGGGTGTTCTCTCTCAGGGCACTGATGCGCGGCGGTGGGCCCAAGAATGGAGTGATGCCTTGAGGCAAATACATCGCACCAAGCGGGTGTGTCGCGGGTCCTTCCATACAGTGGCCTGTCACAGATTACCACGCCCCCACATCATCTTCCCGCTTTCCAGATCGCCCTCCTGCACTTTCCACCTGCAGCGCCAGCTCCTCCAAGGGGCTCCGTCGCAGCTCGGGCACCTGGAACTCCGCCAGCGCCTCCGACCGTGTGCGGGTGTAAAGGTGGAAAGCGGTGCCGGGCTGGCACCGCCCCGCCCGACCGCGCCGTTGCCGCTCCGAGGCGCGGCTGATCCACGCCGACTGCGGTGTGGAAAGGGGGCATAGTGGCTGTGCCTGTCGTCTGAGACACGTGCAGCCGCCTCGTCCTCCAGTGCACCAAGGATGGAGCCTTTGCCCTGGTGCCCCTTGCCGCCACGGAACAGCACCCCGAAAATGCTCCTCTCGACACAGCCGCTCGCCTGCAGGGTTGAGACTCCGGTGAAGGGGTCATACCCCTTCTCACGAAGCCGGCCAGCGTTGATAACCACCACCACATCGTCGATGGTGATGGCGGTTTCTGTGACAGTTGGGCGGGGTGAGGAGGGGGAGGGGGTTGGTGGGGAGGAGCGTGGATCAGTGAAGCATGGACAGTGCGTCAGCCTGCAATGTCCACGGAGCACAGTCCATGCCCATGTGGGCCTGCACCGTGAAGATACTGGGCCACTCACAGCACCATCCCACCTGCGATATTGGTGGCCAGGACGAGCTTGCGGACGCCGCGGGGGGGCCGCTGAAACACGCGACGCTGCTCCGCCGGCGCCACCATGGAGTGCAGTGGCAGGATGAGGTAGCTGTGGGGTGCAGGGCATGGTGGAGACCTGTTGAGACCTCTACGATGGCACTCAGCTGTCGCCTTTGAAGGATGGGACTGGACAGCACTCTGAATCCACCCCACCTGCGCCCGCCAGCTAGGTCAACATTTGCATGCAGCCACACCCCCAAACCCTCAAGTCACCCGCTGTGGGTCCGGCGGAAGGCCTGATCGCGCTCCAGGAGTTCCTTGAGCCGTGAGATCTCGTCCCAGCCGGGAAGAAAGATGAGCACGGCCCCGGGCTGGGCGTCCTTCTGGGCTTGTGGGTTGCTGAATGGCCCTTCCCCACAGATGTACTGGAGCAGCCGCAGGATGAGGTCGAGGTCCACCTGCACGAGGAGTGTATTGTGAGTTGGGATGGTTGAGAGTTGGGGGGTTGATGTCAGACCGGCAAAATACATGCACCACGATCCAGATGGAATTATGACCTGGCTTTCACACGGCTGCCAACACCCAATACGCCCACCAGCAAGCCTTCACGCAAGAGTATGTTGCAGCCACCCAATCCCTACCCCCCTTACCTCATCGATGTCGGTCTCGGACTGGTACTGGGCGACGGCGAGCGCCGTCTGACTGATGGCTGCCGCGGCGGCTGCCTGGCAGCGTGAAGTGAGACGAGACGCGGGGTGATTACCTGTGTCTAGCGGGAATCGCGCCGCCAGAGGACTGCCTTCCCCCATGCACCAGCTTCACACCCCAACAGGGCTAGGTGCTGGGATTGCTGCAGTCCCGCATTGGTTCAGATGTGATCTCCCTCGTTCACCTGCTGCTCGTGCTGCTCCAGCTCGGCCGCCACGTCGGCGTGGCCAAACATCCTGGCCCAGCCCGCCGCCGAGGAGCCGTCCTGGGAGCGCGCAGTCACGTCGGCGCCATGCGCCAGCAGCAGGCGCAGGGTCTCCAGGCGCCCCCTCCCCGCCGCCGCCATCAGCGCCGTGGCACCTGCGAACATATGTTGGAGCGGGTGGCGCGGAGAGTTTGGTTTCCGATGCGTACGTTGAGGGCGCTGAGCCCTTGGAGTGCCGTTGCATGAGCCCTCATTGCCCCTCGGCCGCGAAACTGTGCCTCTGTTCACCCTGCCCTCCCACCTGTGGCCTCGTGCTGGACGTCCAGAACATGAGCGGACACGGCGCCGTCCCCGTCCATGCCCAGGCCCAGCGTGCTCAGCAGGTGCTCGAAGGCGGCGTCGCTGTCGTCCTTGAACGCAGCCTCCACCGCCGCCTGCACAGCAGCGCGCTGCGCCCTGGGGACCTGCTGAGGTGGGACGAAGAGTGGATGATTGATTCGATGCGAGGATGAACATCCCTGCGGATGGGGTGTGCCCTCGTGACAGACACTGACGACGCACAGGAGGCAGAGGCCCTGGACAAAACACTGCACAGGGAGCAGATCCATCCTCTTGCCGCCACGAGCCGTCCAGGGATCCTGCGTGTGCACGGTGCCCAGCCCCAGACCCCTGCCGGGCCTCGCCTTGTGCCAGGTGTGCTGCTGGCCCCCGCGCTGGCCCTGTGCCTCGCGGGGGACCTGGTACTGCACCAGGCGCAGTACCTCCTCCAGGTAAAAGTCCTCCACCGGATGTGTGAAGCCTGGCACGCGCACCATGGGGCAGCCCCCAAAGTAGTCTGTGGAAGTGGATTAATGGCAAGGCGAGGTGGCTGATGTCCGGGACGCGCAGGCCCGAAAGGTCCCCCCCTCACAAGCCCACCCGACACAGGCAGGCCTGGCCCTGGGTGGGGGACAGGGACCTCTCGCACAAACATTCCTGAAACCGGGACCAAACCCAGAACCCTCCCAGCATCACGACACACGCCTGAGAAGAGGTCGGCGTGCAGGGTGGCGGACATGAGGACGACGCGGAGGTTGGGATTGGCGGGCAGCACGTCGCGGACGAGGATGAGCGCAAAGTCTGCGAAGCGGTCGCGCTCGTGGATCTCGTCCATGACCAGGTGCGTGACGTGGGCCAGGGCGTCGGCGCCGGAGGACAGCATGCGCAGCAGGACGCCGTTGGTGGCGAAGAGGAGCGAGGCGTCGCGCCCGCCGCAGCTCTCCAGCCGGATGTTGTACCCGACGTTGACCCCGGGGGCCTCGCCGCGCTCCGCGGCGATGCGCTCCGCGCAGGACACGGCGGAGATGCGGCGGGGCTGGGTGCAGAGCACGTGGCAGCCGCGCCCCGCCGCCCACGCGTCCTCCAGCAGGTACTGCGGCACCTGCGTGGTCTTGCCACACCCCGTCTCGCCGCTGACCAGGACCACGCGGTGTGCGGCCACCGCCGCCAGCAGCTCCGCGCGATGTGCGGCCATGGGCAGCGCTGCGCGCGCCGACTGCAGCGCGGCGGCCTCGGGGCGGGCGACCGCGGCGCGCCACGCCGCCAGGCGCGCCGCCACCTCCTCGCCGGTCATGGACGCGGAGGTGTGCGCCGCGCCGCGCGGCCGCGAGGAGCCGGGCCGCCGGCGGCCGGCGGGCGCGACCCCGCCCGAGCCGGACGCGTCGGAGGACGGGAAGTCTCGCATGTGCTGCGCCAGCGCCTGCCGCGCCGGCTGCGCCAGGTGCAGAGGGATGGCGCCCAGTCCGGGGGAGCGCTGCCGCGTCTTACGCACCGTCACCGCACGGTTGTCCCCCTTCCTGTCGGGGAGAGGGGGGAGAAGAGAGCAGGGGGCCATTGATACAGCAGGCTAGCACAGCACGACGCCACACATGGTGAAACAGATTGTCGAGATGGAGCGAGTCAGCGGCAGGGAGACGCCCCGCCTGTGCTGGCCTTGCTGCCGAAATTCCAGTCGATGGAGGCCTGGATCTATGCATGCCTGTTTCAATCAGGCCGCTGCCAGGCCCTCCGACCCTGCCCCTCCGCACCCGTAGGACTTGCTGGTGAAGCCATACTTCTTGCACTCTGCATGCACCACCGCCCGGTCGTGGTTGGACAGGCCCGGCGGGAACTTGTACTCTGCCGTGGGTGAGGTGGCGTGGGGGAACGACCTGTTGGCTTTGGGAAGAATCCCAACATCCGCATCAAAGCAGACAAACAGACGATCCCTGATCAGTGGTTTGCCTCAGCCACGGCCAGGATCCAAATATTCATGCACCCTTTCACCTGTCTCCTCGCTGTGCTGGAACTCTTTCAGCTGCTCGGCAATGCTGATGCGATCCCCTTCCGTCACTGGGCGGCTCCCAGGCGGGAGTCGACCACCACGCCCACCGCCTCTGCGACCGCCTCCACCACGCCCACCTCGGCCAGGGTGTCCGCCATCCCTCCCTCCACCACGACTGTACATGCTCCAGAAGCTAGAAGAAGTATTGAGGTAGCTCAAGGGTGAATTGTGCTCTGCGCATGGGGAGGGTTCGAACCCTAAGATGGCCGACGGTGCGTACTCGCGAGCAGGCTTAAGCCAGCTCGATCTAAAAAAGAGACTCTGCAAGTGGATTATCTTTAAAAATGAACAAACCTTCTCTGCGATGTGCATGTACCCGTTCTGATCACTTGCAGCGAGTGCTCGGGCGCCAGGGCGCGAGAACTCTGTTTCGGTGGCCGACTGCTTTTTCATCCGGTCACAACCCATGCTGCACATGGTCCCTTTATCTGAAGCCCAGCACATGCCAAGTCCATAGGGATGAATCCATACACGGTTCTTCTGGTATGTAACCCTATACAGCAGGCATCATGGTGTGCTCCCACCCCAGCAGCAGCCGCTTCAGGCTGTCAGTACCCCAGCGCTGCCGGCCCCCCATCCGAGCGGCCCAGGTTGGCCAGACTCCCAAACCTGGCAGGCAGGTGTAAAGGGGGAAGGTCTCTGGCTGAGAGCATGTGCAATTGTTCTTGACCAGCAATTCCTCTTGCTGGGCGGTTCAGTGTCAGTGCACCCCTCCAGGCCACAAGGAAGCTTTGCACCAGCATTGGGTCCCCACCCAGAACCGCCACCACCCTGCCCCAAGCCCTACCACAACACCAGCATGCCCCGAATACGCCACAATAGTTACGTACAGCTGGAGCACACTGGCAGAGAGGTGCTTGGGGTGGAGCATGTCGGCTCGGCCTCCTGCCACCCGGCCCCCGCCACGAGGCTTGGAGGTCTGGCTGGGGGTGGGCCGAGCCGTAGGGCCGTGCATGCAGCGCAGCAGGGAAGAGCTGGGCCGAGTGGCCACCGGCGCCTGGGACTCCTGGGAAGGGAGTTGGTGAACCTTGGCTGCCCGGCAGTCGTTCGTCTGCTTGTCATCTCAGCAAAGACACTGCTCAGGACGCGGCAGCAAGCGGTCACTCCATGCGTGCCACTAAACCATGTGAGCACACCACCCAAAAACGCTCCCTCCCAGCCACCTTTCGCATCCTCTGGTCCTTGGAGGCGGCCCGCCGGGCGGGGTCTGCGGCCGAGCGCTTCTGGCCCCTTGGGCCAGCCTGCGTCCTGACCACCTGCATGCGCACAAGTGAGCCCCCAAAGGAATGTCGTTCAGAACATGACCATCAGTAGGTTGAATTAGTGTGGGCCGAGGGCACTTGGTGTCCGGCTCTGTGGCCATGTAACCCCAGGAGGCATCCCTGCCCCGCCCACCTCGGGAGCAGCAGGGTGTCCTTGACGGTCGCCCGCCCCGGCGTCCCTGCCAGGGTCATCCAGCGTATGCGGGTTAACCGCCACCAGGAAGGAGTCGGGTCCATGCTCCTCCTCGCTCTCCCCGCTCTCCGTGCCATCCCCCCCGCCCAGATCCACATACTTTTTGCCTGTGTTGCTCGGAGGTGGTTGGGGATGGATGGAGCCATGACAAGACATGGAATTGAGCTCCCTTTGGTATATGGCACGAGACGACATCCTTGGCACACACCCAACAACACTGTGCTGGCCGCCGACGCGCCTGGTGACTTGCATGCAGGTTCGGCGGGCTCCTGGGCGGGAGCTGCGGGGTTGTGGCGACCCGCCTCCGCCGCCGCCAGGCCGATGCCGGCCAGGAGCTGTTTGTGCTGACTCAGCATGACCTGCATGCCGTCGATGCGGGCCTGCAGGCGGGCGGCCACTGCACGTGCAGCTTCGGTCTCCCCGCATTGCACCTGGGTGGGGGCGAGGGGGAACACTTGGGTGACGCAGTGTGGCACGTGTCACGAAGCAGGATCCAGTGCATGGTGACTGATGCTCAGCCTGCGTGTGCCTGTCAATGCAGCGCTCATCACCTCTCCCATACCCTCCACCCCCATACCTTAAGCTGCGACTCCTTGTCTTCGGCCAACCTCTCAGCCTTGGACAGCTGGGTCTGCAGGTTCAGCTTCTCCAGCACCTCGGTCCGAACCTTGGCCTCCATTGCATCCTGCTCAGCAAGTGAGGAGAAGGAAGCCTGGTGTAATTTGGCGAGCGAGATGCTGAGGCAGGCATTAGGAAAAAAGGTAAGATTAACGAGCGGTCTGGACTCCATAGCCTGGATCGATGACCAGGACTTGCCCACCAGCCTACCATGGACTTGCTCATCTTGGTCTGTGACCCCCTCATCTGGTGGAGCTCCTGCTGTGCCATCGCCAGTTCCTGAGGGAGTGCAGGCAGGAGTGGTTCTTCGAGCCTGTTGGGCACTGTGACGGAGGGATCACATGGACAGAGAGGCTGCCTGCATACCTGCACCGACACATCGATGTTGGCCTGGAGGGTCTCCAGCTCCTGCTTGTGCTGTGCTGCAACCTGTGCAAGCTCAGCGCGATGTGCCCGGTGCAGCTCATCCAGGTTCTGCAGTGTTGGGGTTGGCATGGCAACAAGATGTTGGGTGGCGCAGGATGGTGATCCGGCGATTCAGGCTCACTCGGGTCTCCGCATGTCCTGACCTTGGCCGTTCGGTGAATGAGGGTGTCTTCCTTGGACTGGAAGGACAGCATGGCAGCCCTCAGCCTGGTGTGCATCTCGTCAGATGCTATGTGCAGGAGCTTCCGGCTCTCGGTTAGCTTCCCCTCGAGGGCGTTCACCTCTAGAGCCCAAACCTCCTGCACATCCCACAACATGGCATGAGGCGTGAGTGCAGGTGCTGACAGCCGGGGACACAGCGCACCCCGTCCATGTCCTCACGACTGTCTTCCCTTGCATCTCTTGTTGTCATCATCCAACACATACGCACCTCTTTCGCCTCAGACTTGGCATGTTCCAGAGTGAGACGCTGGTGAAGGTCCAGGACGTCAAGCTGTGCGTTATCCAGGGCAACCCCAACCCGCGTCTGCCATTTGGGGGACAGGGTACAGGCATGTATGACCCTGGACACTTTCCATGATTACCACAGCGCCGTGCATGATGGTGTATGTATATTGCTTAGAGAAGGTGGTCTGTAACTCCTCCACCCACCTCGTGGGCTTGCAGGCATCGCACTCTCTCTGTGGCACCGGCCACTTGCTCCTGCATCTGTACGAGGCAGCCCTCAAGCTCCTGCTGGCGGATCGCCCCGGCTTTGAGCTCGGCTTGAGCCTGGTTGACCGCATCCTGGTTCAGGAGGCGCTCGCCCTCCAGCACAGCCTGGGCAGGCCGTGTGAAGGGCTCAGTCAGGCCAGGGGCAGATGGGACACAAGGTGGCTGGTGCAACAATGAATGGTTCCCTACTGCAGCCTAGATGCAGTCTCACCAGCATTGCGGCATTCTCGGCCTCTGCCGCGTCCAGCTGCCGATTTAGCACGCAGATCTTAGCCATGGCCTCGCACACCTCCTCCTGAAGCTGGGCCTGCAGGCAGTGGTTCGAGGAGCAAGGCCTGCAGAAGTCCCTACACACGCATACATGGTGCAGTGCATTGAAAAAAGCCTCCATCCACACCTGTGTGACGGCAAGGCTAGCCTTCTCCGTTCGCATTGATTCGAGGCTTGTGGCGGCTGCCTCGAGCTTCAGATCACTCTCAAGCAGCTTGGCTGAAAGGTTCTCAGCCTCCACTGACAGCCGTGCGATCTCTGCGCATTGCACCTCCCTGTCCTTGGCAGAGGATTCGACGGCCCTGCTGAGGGAGTCCTCGATGCTCCTGATGCTGGCCCTCAAGACCTGGGCATCAGCCTCAAGTTGCTGTCGCTGGGCGCACATGTCTTCGTGTGCCTTGGCCTGCAGGCACAGCATGCCAGAATGGGGAGGTGAACCAAGGCTCTCAAGTGTGGACCCTCAAGGCAGTCCATCTGCTTGCTTTGCTCAGGCAACTGGACACAGGACGTGCAACAGCTTGCGAAACTGGAACAAAAGCACTGTGCTGTAGTACAGAACCCACCATGCTATGCAGCCGCGACTCGTGCTCGGCTGACTCCTTGCTGCGAGACACGAGTTGAGCACTCAGTCTCTCTCCACGTGCACGCTCTGTTGCGGGAGGAGGGAAATGCAGTTTCTGTGGTGAGCCATCCAGTGATCAGCGCCTACCCATGTATCAGAGCCCTTCTGACCTGACTTCAGTTTCTTGTTTGTTTCCTCCAGCAGGGAGATGTACTCCTTGTTGTCGTTCAACAGGGCCTGTAGAGAGGGTGTGGGTTCCCTATCAGGGGCCATTTCCTGCCATCAAACAACACAGAACATGCTTCCCTGAATACCCCCCAGTCTGACCTGGTTCTGCTCAAATTCCTTCTTCATACAGTTATGGAGGTCCTCACGCTTCTTCTCCACTGTAAACATGTGGGGTTGCACTGGCTGGGTGAGACAGCCACTTGGAGTTCTAGGGAGAGAAGTTATCCGCTGCTCACCCATCCATGGCATGTCCCCTCTGTAGCTCCCCACCTTCTCTCAGGGCTATCTCTAGCCCATAATGCCTTGTGACCATAGCCTCGTGGTCATCCTTGGACATCCTGATGGTTTCCACCAGCTCTGCCAGGCACCTCCGGTCTGCAAGCCATAGAGAGATGCTTGGGTATGGAGAGGTACAGGATCTACGTGAACATTGCTCTGGATACACAACAGCGTAACCTACCGCTCCGTAAGGCCGTAGCCAGCTTCTCATTGCGGGTGGCCTGCTCCATGTAGGCCTGCTGGATGCGCTCCATGTCGGTCTGCATATCCTCCATCCTCGCTTGGGCAGCACATGCCTTTGCCTCGGCACGAGCATGCTCGGCAATCAGGAGATCTGCAGAGAGGGGAGTCCAGTCAGATATATGCAAGAAGTACTCCCAGCGCATGTCGCCCATCACCTCACCTGTGCTAGAGATGAGCTGGTCGGTGTTGGGGTGGGACTCCATGCTTTTCCCGTCCATGACAGGCCACAGCCAATCTCCGGAACCGCTGCAGCTCTATAATATATACTCTGGTGGTGTATCGAGCCGTAATATGTATTCGGAACGCGGAATGTTGTACTGCAAACCTCCATCATGCCGATTGTTAATCCCATTTGGGGTTGGGGTTTTCGACAAGAAAGGGGGCCCGCGCTGTGAGAGGGTCGCCCTTCCATCGTCACATCAGAGAAGACAACCATCACGGCTGAGGATCGCAGTGATAGAAGAGGTACACTCTATTTTATTGGTTTCTATCACTTAACACAGCAGGATGTCAATGTTGCGCTGTACTGGCCATGCGAAAACCTTCCAACCGGGGTGGGGAACCCGCCCTTGTGCCCACCCAGTGCCATTCCTAGCCCCCGTACCCCAGACTGGAGGGCCTCAGCATCCGCGGCATGCCTATGTTCCTCGTACTGGAAGATTATTGAGACCTTGCACCGCCACAAAGCAGAAATTTGGAAGCTTTCAGGAACTGATCCAGGTGGTCGTGTGGCGGGGCCTGTGGAAGCAGTGCTGATGGGGCTACCACGCACCCTGTAGCAAGCAAGTACGATCTATTAATACACCCTCCTGCAAGCAGAGGAAAGATAAGCTGGTCCTGGTGGATTTCTATGCGGTCTGGTGCGGTCCTTGCCACATCATGGCGGACGTCATGACGGTAAAGAGGAGGGGCGTGCAGGGGTGGTCCGGCTGCATGGTCGTACTTGCAATGCATACTCTGCCAGACAAGCACCTTGCCTCTCTCCCACGCACGCACGCACAGAAAGTGTCTTCGGGCCTGAGCGATCGGGTGGTGTTCGTCAAGATAGACACCGACAAGTACCCTGCCCTGGCATCCCAGTACCGCATCGAGGCCCTACCGACGCTGGTCCTCTTCAAGGACGGCAGGCCCATCGACAGGATAGAGGGCGTGATCAATGTGGGCCAGCTGCAGGCCCGCCTGCAGCTGGCCCTCGGACCCACAAAGTGATCCCTTGTCCAGCACAGGGGCCCTGGCCTCCACGGTCGGCTGGAGGCGACGGCGGGTTCGCACAGCCCGCGGCACTAGCACTGCCTCGAAGCATCCTCTCCTCCAGGTCAGGCCCTCCCGCTGAGAAGCTCAATCCCAACTTCATGCCACGAGAAAGAGATCTCAAATATACATTCAGACTCAGCGCCGAGGCGAGGCAGGCCTCGCTGTCAAAGAGCCAAGCACACCGAGCGGGGCGCGGCAAGCGGCGAGTTCTTATGAGATTCCATACGGCACAGTCGCAGGGCGAGGCGGGGACGGCCATCAGTGTTGGTGGTGCACGTGCGGCTTGTCAGCCTCCTCCGGCCCCACGATCTGCAGTGTGGAGTGCTGGATGCCCAGCCGCCGCACGTATGCCGTGACGCGGGACAGCACCTCCTCCCCCTCGGCGCCAGGCTGGGTGGCCACGTGCGCGCAGAGCAGTGGGATGCCCGGGGTCAACGACCAGACGTGCAGGTCGCCCACCCCAGCCACGCCCTCGATCTGTGACGAGAAGGGAGGTTGGGAGTGCAGGGAGGGGATTGGGCTGCAGCAATCGCTCATGCCGGCTCTTTGACAGGTGGCACAGCTCCACGAACTTGGTCCCTGAACCACTGCGGGGGCGCTCACGCGTCACTCTCGCCGCACAGCACCCTGGTCAAACACCCCACACCCCCGGGCACTCACGGCGGTGATGTCATCCTCAATGTCGGCGATGTTGAGCCCCCGCGGCACGCGCTCCATCAGCACGTCGGCGATGTCACGCAGCACGCGCTTGGTGGTCCACAGCACCAGGGCGGCGAAGAGGAAGGTGCAGATGGGGTCCGCCAGCGCCCAGCGAGGGTCGTCCTGCAGGGTTGAGTGGGGTAGGAATGAGGGGTGTGGCACCAAGTCGATTCAGTGCGGGTCGTGTGGAGACGATGGGAACTGACTGCGTGGGCACGCACCCACAGTCGCATGCTGAGGCCCCCGCACACCGAGCCCTCACCTGGTGGATCCAGATCAGCAGGCCCGCCACCGCCACGCCGATGGACTGCACCAGGTCGCCGATGACGTGCACGACCGCGCCCATCATGTTGATGTTGTGCCCCTTGTCCAGTCCCTTGGCCTTGCCGTGGGGCAGGAGGGGCGCCGACGCGCCGTCCGGGTCGTGACAGGCCTCCAGGTCCTCAAGTCCGATGGCTGGCGTGTGGGTGTGGGCATGACCATGGGCATGCTTGTGCCCATGGTTGTGCGCATGGTCGCGCCCATGGTTGTGCCCATGGTTGTGCGCATGGTCGTGCCCATGGTTGTGCCCATGGTCGTGCCCATGGTCATCCTCATGGCCATGGCCGTCTTCATCCCCGTGGCCGTGGTCGTGGCCGTGGTGGATGCCCAGGACGAAGAGCAGGCCCAGGTTGACCGCCACGCCAGTCACCGCCAGCGCAAACATGACTGCCGAGCGCGGGAAGGAAAGGAGCGGGGTGGATGATCGGCGGCGGGGCGGGTCGCTGGTGTGCGATGCATGGAGGGTGCGGAGCGCGTGGACACTCCCTGTCACCTCATCCCCGAGTCGATTACCTTTGCCGTTGACGGGCTCTGGGACGAGGATGCGCTGGATGGCCTCTACCAGCAGAATGCCAGTGACCAGCCAGACGGTGAGGATGGAGGCCAGGGCGCCCAGCACCTCCACGCGGTGATACCTGCAGGTGCCCGGAGGTTGGGGCCCAGTGAGTGCGGGCAGGGGCCGGCAGCATGTGCTTCCCTGGGGGTCGCAAGGGCGTGTGCAAGGCCGGCAAACGCCGACCAGCCAGGGTGCACGACGGTGGTGCCAACCGCACACCGGCCCCACCGCCCCTTGTGACGACACCAGCTCAAGGCCATGTCCTCGCACCCATAGGAAAAGTGGCTGTGGCTCATGCGGGCCGCCCAGACGGCCGCCAGCGCAGAGACGCCGAAGCCAGACACGTCTGACAACAGGTGTGCGGCGTCGGTGATGATGGCCAGGGAGTGGGCGTAGATGCCGCCCACCACCTCCACGATCATGAACAGGAAGGCGATGACCAGGGCGATGAGGAGCTTGCGCTGCGTCTGCGGGTCGTGGGGTTCAGGTGGACGGGAGCCCGTCATGGTCTCCCCCGGGAAAGCGAGGGACTCCGGTGCATGCGGTGGGCGAACAACCCTGGTGCACCACAGGTCATGCCCTCGCGCTCTTGTGACACCACTACCTACCGCTTTGTATTCCGCTCCTCGCTCCCCAGTCGCCCCCGCGGCCAGCACGCAGGCTGAGTACTGCCTCGGCAGGTCTGTACCATGAAGGAGGTGGTCCTATTAGGCGGTGATAGCATGTGAAAGCCTCGAAACTAAATTCAGTTACCATAATCATCTACCTGCAAGCGCTGGTAGCCTTACAGGCACGGAAACTTCCCCTTGCTGGGCCTCGCCCAGCTGGGGAAGTGCCGCATCGCCCACCGCTGATGGCTGGGCGGACCCGGCCATCTCAGAATGTAACGAGACCTTGATCGGCCCAGAAACAAGCGTTGGCACTAGAGTCGTTGGGACTGGTCCGCAGCTGATGAAGGGATTCGTGGGGTGCCTGGGTCCATTTGGGACGGAGGCCCCCCTGCGGACCGTGCTGGGGATTGGAGGAAATCGGGGATGCTCCAACTCGAGCAATACATAGCTACCCAGGGCATCCCAGAGCACCACAGCCTTCCAAAGATGATCGAACTGGGTCCTTCGTGCAGTATGTTGCCCAAATTTCTATTTAAAATCCACTGTTGTTGTCCTAGGGCCGCTGTTGACGAGCTCGAACTCAATCAGGAGGACCATGCCCACACTCCACCCTATATTTCCTGGATGGTAAGTTTGGTCACCAGCTGAATATCAATGGTCTCCATGAGTATACGGTCGATAACAACTATTGATATATCTTCTTGTTAAGCTTTGGCTTGGTTTGCATGAGGCATGTACAAGTGTTTGTCTGTTGCCTGGTCACGACAAGATATACCTTTGCATGCAAAAGTCAAGGTGTAACAAGTGATCATTCTCGGACTCCCCACCGAGTCCAATCGCATAAGCAGTATGCATTAATCGTTTTGCATATACAACGCCATGTTTTGTGCGGCTGTAGCGCGTGTCAGTGTCTTTGGTGGCACCCCGGCTTGGGCCTACCGCCGAGCGATCGTGGCGACCCGCTGCATCCGGGCATGTCGACGGACACCTTCTAATATTGCTCATAGGCTGGCAAGGTCCGGCACGAACCATGCGGGCCCGATCTCGGCCGCAAGCACCTCCGACGCCGGTTCCTCCCCCGCTGCCGAGTCCCTCTTCGCTCCAGCGGGCACCACCTTTGCCGGCCTAGGCCTGAGCCCGGGCATCTGCGATGCCCTGGCCGCCTCAGGTTTCCACCAGCCCACCGCAGTCCAGGTGCCGTGCATGTACATGATGGTGTGGTGGCTGGATGGCTTGAGGGCTGGACGGCCTCGCAGCCTTCACCACTCAACTGCATCAAAGCGCCCTTACCACCCCCACATCCAAGAAAACATGCACGCTCTCCCCCCCCACTGCCCTTCACCCCTCCAAGGCCCTCGCCGCCCCTGCCCTGCTGGCCGGCTCGGATGTGGTGCTGGCCGCGGAGACGGGAAGTGGGAAGACGCTGGCCTACCTGGCCCCACTGCTGGCCCGCGCGCAGGCGCCCCAAGCCTCCGGCGCCCCACCCTCTACCCTGGTCCTCTGCCCCAACGCCGCGCTGTGCGGCCAGGTGGCGGCGGCGGGCGCGGCGCTCCTCCCCTCCGCGCCCCCGCCCTGGACGGTGTCCTCCCGCACGCTGCCGCCGCGCACGCTGCCACCGCTGGTGCTGGCCACGCCGGGGTCACTGGTCACCGCCCTGGACGGCGCAGCGGGCGAGGACTGGACGCGCGAAGGGCTGCCTCGCTGGGCGCGCTGCGTCGTGCTGGACGAGGCCGATATGCTGCTGGGGGGCAGCTACGGCCGCGACATCGAGGCGGTGCTGGAGGCGCTGCGGGCGGGGGATCGGCGCGACGCCGCAGAGCGCGTCTGTGCGCAGCTGGGGATGGAAGAGGAGGAGTTCCGGGCCCTGCCTCGCCACCTCAGGCAGAGCGCCTACGCCGGTGCGGGTTTGGGGAGGCGTTGTGGTGGGGGGAGGCGGGGGTTGCAACGTCCGTGACGGTAGATCGGCGTCGTGTTTGAGGAGAGGGAATCGTGTCGATTTGCACAGCCTGGCGTCCACAAGTAAAACCCCTTGGTGAGCGGGGCATGCCTCGTTTTACCCATCCATCCGCTCCTCCAGGAGGTCGTGCTCACCTACCTCTTCAATACTGTTCTCCCTTGCCAGGAGGTGTGGCGGCCATGGTCAAGGAAGGGTACACGCCCCCCTTGTCCCAGACCTCACCCCCACACACAGAGGGGCCCTCGGACAGCTGGCGCAGGCAGTACGTCTTTGTGGCCGCCACAATGCCCGTGGATGGCAAGTATGAGGTGGGCACCAAGCTGCGCCGCGCTTTCCCGCAGGCCGTGTGGCTCGCGGGGCGGCGCCTGCACCAGCAGACCCGGGACCTACAGCACGACTGGCGTCGGGCGGAGGGCGAGCAGGAGCGCGCCCGTGTGCTGCAGGTGGGGCCATGCTGTGATCTGGCTGCAGGGTTTCGTAGGGTGGGGCCAGTCCACCATTGTTTACTGCTTTGTGAGGATGATGTCAGAGTGCTTGTGTCTCAGGATGGCACTTGCATTCATATTCCATGCTCAGGAGGGCCTTCCCCCCAAGCCTTGCACCTGGAAGGCAACCATACCCTTCCCCATCCAACCCCCGCGTCCACTCGTGCACTCGCTCAGGAGGTCATCGCCGGGGACAAAACCATGGGCCCCGGCACGACCACGCTGGTCTTCGCACGCGACGTGTCCAGCGCCGACGCCACGCTGAGCGCGCTGCGGCGGACCTGCGCGGCGCGCGGCGCGGCGCTCCTGCGCTACCACAAGGAGGTGCCGCAGGCGGAGCGCGAGGACCTGCTGCGCACCCTGGCGGCGCCGGGGTCGAGCGCGCGCGAGCCCATCGTCCTCGTCTGCACCGACGCTGCGGCCCGGGGGTTGGACCTGCCCAGCGTCAACCACGTCGTGCAGGCCGACTTTGCGGCATCCGCCGTGCACTTCCTGCATAGGGTAGGGTTCGGGAGAGTGGGGGGGCGTTCATGGGCGAGGACTTGCGTGGGATCAGGCCACAGTGGGAGCCACCCTGGTCAGTTCCTTGCCGCTTGATGCCTGTGGGATCTGGTGGACGGGGGCGAGGCGACCCGCAAACTCCCTGGATGCACCTTGTGGGCAACCCCCTCGACCCCCGCCCGAGTGCCGATTATCAGAGCACCCAATCCGCCTTTCCTCACCACGCTTGCGACAGGTGGGTCGTACAGCACGTGCAGGGAGGAAAGGGCGCGTGACGTCCCTGTATGGGAGCGAGGCGGAACCCCTGGTGGACGCCCTGCGCGCTGCCATCGCCGCAGGTGCCCGAGTGCTTGGTGTTGGGCATCTGAGGGTCCCTTTTTGAGCCCCCCATACAGACCCTGGCTGCTGCACTGCTGACCTGCCCGGGGTACTCTGCACAGTTTCAAGACGGGTGAATGACACCCATGCCCTCCCCTCTCCCAACCCCTGCCCAGATGAGCCGGTGGAGGGGGCGTTCAGCAGGAAGAGGTCCTTTCGGAAGAAGTTCAAACGGTATGGGCAGTATGTGCCGCGTGGGCAGACACTGTCGGGGGAGACAGGCACGGGCAGGGAGGCCCGATGATGCAATTCCTGCGCGCTGCGGCGGCGTCGTAAACGCCTTCCACCCACCCCAACCACGCCCGCCTCTCCTTGGCCACCTTGCCATCCCACCATCTCTCAGCTATCCTCGAATGTTCTTGCTTGCTTTCGAGACTGTTACATTATTAGGGTACCCGGCATTGACAGTGTGGTTCGTCTTGCGACACTGCAAGCATTACTAATCGTCAAAAAGCTAGGGACATCTCCTCAAAGAATTTTGGGGGCTGATTCATGTTGTTTCAAGAAAATCGTCTCGATGCTTGGTGAGGGGAACAAAAAATGAGGGTTTGCTTGCCTGACGACATGGAGGATGGGGAGGTCCCATCGGTCACTCGGGTTGCACAGCGCGCACGCAAGCTGAAGGGTAGATGGAACATCGGTACGAAGGGAAGTAAACTGGTAAGAAAAGGATCTACGGCGCGCACCGGTAGAGTGGCGGGGCAGATGCAAGTTCGTGTGGAATGTTCTGAGCTCTTAGGGGGCATGCATCAACAGCCGTGAAGGCGGCTTGGGGGGGTCTGGAAGAGGGGGTGGCCTCCAGGGCCCAACTCGTTGCAGGCATCGACTCGTTCTATAATAGCGGGGGCATGCGGGGCATGAGCCATCCGGTGCTGGCTGTGGGACGGCGTGGGCTGGCCACAGCACGGGGCACAAAATCTGTGGAAGGGATCGTCAAAACCGATGGCTCGACAGAAGGAATGGGGGGCAGGCACCCACCCAAAGGGATAAGGGGAGGGAGTTCAGGGCAGGGATGGCGGTGGAAGGCACCGTCCCTGCGGCTCCGTTGAGGGGGGGCTGCGGACATCGACGCAACTTTTCGTTCGAAGGTGCTGGATGTGGAGGAAACAATAGCAAGGAACAGGATGGTATGGGGGGGGGGTGGGCAAGGGGACGATGCCACGCCATCAAAAATCGTTACCTCTGCTCGCAATTTTCCCGGCGCAAGGGCGAATGAGGAGGTGTGGGTTACCGCCGCCGTGCTCCCTGCTCAGCGGGGCCCATGCAGCGCGCCCAGCGCGTTCTGCAGCCCGGGATCCTCCAGCGTGAGCTCCGTCAGGCCCACCAGGATCTGGGGCCAGTCGGGGGTCAAGCCTGGAGCATGACGTGGGGAGGGGGTGGGAACTTGAGGATTGCGGGCAGAGTGCATGCATTTCCCTGCTGCCTTGGCAAGTTGTTGTACAGAGAGGACTGGGGTACAGAGAGTCCCTGCGGAGCACCACTGCAGTCTTCCCCCTCCCACCCTCCGCTTCTCCCACACGCCGCTCCGCCATCCACCCCCCCAAAGAATCTCACCGGCCTCACGACGCGCGTGGATGAGCAGCGCGGCGGCGCCCAGGGAGGGCGTGACCTCCAGCAGATGCCCGCTCTCTAGCGCAGCGTGCGCATCGGCCAGCGCGCGGCCGCCGACGGCGGCGGCCGCGTCCTCGCCGCCTGCGCCCAGGTCCACGCCCAGGCGCTCCATGTACAGCTTGAGGATGCGCAGGGCGGAGATGGCGTTGGTCCCCGCGCCCAGCGCGGCGCCGACAGCGGCCACCGCCGCGTCCAGCGCCTCCTGGGTCAGGCCCAGGCCGGGGTCGAGGGTCGCGGCGCCCGGCAGCGGCGCGCCTGCGTTGGCCGCCGCGACGGCGAGGCAAGCGGCCGCCAGCGCATCGGGTCGCAGCGTACGCGCACGCGCGTCGCGGGAGGAAAGCACGCGGTCCAGCAGCAGGACGCCATCGTGCAGCACGTCCTCGCGCACGGCCCGCGCGCCGGCCAGGCGCCGCGCGGTCGCCAGCGCGGCGGTGCGCATCGCGAGCGCGGGCGCGTCCAGCGGGCCAACTTCCGCGCGGGCGCCGTCGCCAGGGCCCTCCTCGAAGCGACGCACGGCCACAAAAGCCTCGCTGCACCGCACCTCCACCGCCAGGTCCTCGATCAGGGCGGCGGTCCACACCGCCTTGCCCTCGGGCGGGGAGCTGGAGAGGTCGGCGGCCGCAGCCAGCACCGATTGGGCAGTCTCTGAGCCCAGCCAGGCAGAGATGGCCTCGGCGGGGGCCTCCAGGCGGCACCCCTGCGTCACGTCCCTCAGCCTGCAGGGTCGACGATGGTCAGGGGTCGGTGACAGAGAGGAGATGGGGTGCGGAGTCCAGGGGAATTCGCGAGGACGGGTGATTGCACATGGAGCGAGCCGACATCCTACGCACACACCATGATCGAAACCCCCCACTACGGCCTTCCCATAATCTCGCACCATACTGACACAGACACTGCAACTTCCAATGTCCATTGGAATGCACAACTGCCAAACCCCTCCCATTCCCATGCCCACCACCCTCTCCATCTTCACCCGCTCGAAAACTCACGTAAACGGGGCCTTCCAGGCGGCGACACACTGGTGCAGGGCGCTGCGCATTCCCGGGTAGGCATGCTCCCTGCAGGGCTTGCCCTTGTTGATGACCAGGGCCACGTGCGTCCCCGCCCCACAGGCTTGGCCCCTGTCGCGGGGCAGGCGCTCCCGCAGCTCGCCCACCCAGCGCAGCAGGCACAGCACGGCCGAGCCCAGGCTGAATGCGTGCACGCTGAACTCGATGAGCACGCCGGCGGGGCCTGGCGAGCCGGCGTTCACTCCATCCCCCTCCTCTACGACAAGCAGGGGCGACTGCGGGAGCGAGGCCGTCGGCGCAGCGGCCGAGTCGGCTGACTCGATGGTGCACCAGCTCGGCGCCCCCTCCAGGCCGGGCAGCGCCGCCGCCGGCGCACGCGCCGGCGGCGTGGCGCCCTGCGCCGTCTCGCCGCTTGTCGCCTCGGTGGTGTGCACGGTGAGGCGGAAGTGTCCTGACCGGCAGGCCTGCCGGAAGATGGCGGCGGCGCGGGCCTGTGCCCAGACCGCGCCGGTGCTCCACAGCGCGCCGACCACGACGTTGTAGACGACGGAGTCCGGGCGCCCGCCCCCGCCCCGCATCTGCTCGTAGGTGGTGACCACGCGGCGCCACTGCCCGCCGCGCTCGTGGCAGGCCATGAGGCCGCCGTAGGTGACGGTGTCCGGGGGGCACCCGCGCGCCTGCATCTGCTCAAACAGCTCCTCCGCCTTCTGCCACTGCGCGCCCTGGCAGCAGGCGGCGATGAGGGAGTTGTAGGTGACCACGTTGGGCGCGCAGCCCTCCACGTGCATCTGCGCAAACAGGTCCAGGGCCAGCTCCCAGCGCCCCGCCTTCTCGCAGGCGGAGATGAGGGAGGAGTAGGTGATGACGTTGCGCTCGCACCCCGCGGCCACCATCTCGTCGAACACCGCCAGCGCGCGGTCCAGCTGCCCGCGCTTGCCGTGCGCGGAGATGAGCGCGGTGAAGGTGGTGGCCGTGGGCCGACCCCCCGCCGCCAGCATGCGGTCGTACACGCGCAGCGCCTCCCCCGCCTGCCCGCTCATGTTGCAGGCGATGATGACGGTGTTGTAGGTCCGCACCTCCGGCTCGATGCCCTGCCGCGCCAGCAGGTCCAGCACGCGCACCGCGTCCTCCCACGCCCCCGTCTTCCCGTACACGTCGATCAGCGTGTTGTAGGTCACCAGGTTGGGCCGGCACCCCTCTGCCAGCATCTGGCAGTACACGTCCAGCGCCAGCTCCAGCTCCCCGCCCTTGATGCACACGTTCATCAGCGCGGAGTAGGTGTGCACGTTGGCGGGCACGCGCCGCGTCTTCATCTCCGACACCAGCTCCAGCGCCCGCCGGATGTGCTGCGCCGCGCCGCGCTGGCTGATCATGGTCGTGTAGGTCATCGTGTTGCACAGCCCCGCCAGGGGGTGCCCCGGCTCCAGCCCGCGCAGCCAGTCGAAGATCTCAGCCGCGCGCTGCGTCTGCCCGCCCTTGTGCAGCTCCTTCAGTAAGGCTGCCAAAGCGCCGGCGTCCAGCGCGTACAGGCCCTGCAAGGTGTTTGATGGGCGCGGGGGTGGGATCAGGCTGTCGAGGGAGGGAGGGGTCGATGTGTGTGCGAGTCACAGCGAGCCGGAGCTGAGGCAAGACACATCGGAGACTGAACGCGACGAGGGCATTCACAGCCGATTAGGCAGAGCCGCAGCACTCAGACACTCTCTGAAGCTGTCCTTCCCCCACAGAGTTGCGACGAGGGCCTCACCCGCTGCACCGCGTCCAGCACGGGGGAGCCGGGGGGCAGGCGGCGGACGGCCAGCACCATGCCCTCCACCGTCAGCTCGGAGAAGCCGTTGGGGCCGGAAGCTTGGTGCGCGGGTCCGCGCGCGCCGTGCCCGCTCCCAGACTCCGACTGCGCAGGGACGGAGCAGGGAGTGTGAGTTTTGGGACGTCGATGGAGGGAGTGTGCGTGGGGGGACTGTCGAGCTTCAGAGAGGACAATGCAGCACACATATGCCCACAGGAGGAAAGCACCACAGCACAGGCCGCCACCCCCAAGGTACTTCTCAAGAGCACCTTCCCGCTTGCCAACTGTCTTTCCCCATTTGAACCCACATCCCCCATCGCCTCACCCGTGCCAGCTGCTGCCACATGCGGCGGTAGCCTTGAGAATTGGCCTGCCCGCCGTTCCTGCTGCGGCCGCGGTGCGTGCCCTGGCTGCCCTGCCGGGGACCGGGCCCGCGCTGGCCCCCCATGTGCGCCTGCTGCGCCTGCTGCGGGCGAAGGTTCTGGTGCTGGCGCTGCTGCTGCTGCTGCTGGGCGCCGAGCTGGGCCTGGCCCAGCAGCGCGCCCAGGTCGGCGGTCAGCGGCAGCCCGCCCCCCAGCTGGGGCTGCTGGCGCGACAGCAGCGCTGCCTGAGCGTACGCCTCCGCCTCAGACCACTCCATCCCGGGGTGGGCATACTGGTGGGTGGGGGAAAGGGGGAGTGCGGGGTGAGAACTTGTGCCCGTTCGCCGGGCTGGCGTCATTCTGGCACACAGGACAGCCCCACGCTCGTTCCCTTCATCCTGGCATCCATTGTGACCATGCGCCGCACCCTCCAGCGATGTGAATTCGGGCTGGACACCGACATCACCTGCACCTGGTAGGGTTGCACCTTGAACCCGGGTGCGCGACCGCCATCCGGGCCCAGCCTGGGAGGAAACTTGTCTACGTGCACCTGGGCGGGCCATCCCGTCTGACTTTCCAACGCTTCGTATCCCGGGTGTGTGGGGGAGTGGGTCCAGCTGACGGGGCTCTCCCCGGTGTAACCGCTTCCGTAAGACTCCAGCGAAATGTCATGGTGGTCGAGGAGGTAGGGGTGTGTCCGGAGCTGGCTGCCGTAGAGCGCCGCGGGCACTTGCATTGAGGGTTTGAGAGGGTCAGTCGCGTTCCGACAACCGGATAATAGGTTCCATGAGCGATCTGAAAAGAATGAACAACTAAACAGGGTCTCCACGCTCCCGCATGGGCGCTCCTATCTGGCGAGGCGACCATGACTGGTTCTGTCGCCTGGATTTGCCCTGGGACGAAGAAATCAACCCCCTGTCCCTCGTCACCGAATCTTGTGGCGCGTTACAGGGGTGAGGGCTGCGTAGATTCCCGGTAACATAACGCCCAATGTAATATAATGATGTGATATGCTGTGAAAAGGCGATCGCAGTGCTTGTGACTGCCTATGTCTCACGGTGAACAAGCAGGCTGGACAAGATCTCTCCCCGATCCTCGAATGTGCCTCGACCCTATATTATGACCTTTGGAGCCCTGCATGTAATACACTAGTGCTGAGGTCTTTTGCACATCTCTTATATGATGCGATGTCGTAAGCAGGCCGATGAGCTACTCGCTGGCTTGCAGACAGGTGTATTGGCAGTTTCATACCGGACACAGCAGGGACAGCTGTGAGGCACAGTAAACGCCATCCTCTGCCCATCCTAACATTCTTATCGAGATACCAGCCCATAGAATGCATGATCCTGTGTATGATCATTTTAACGTGCGTCATCTCAAATGCTGGCAGTTGAAGATCCGGATGCCGAGGCAAAATGGGCGCGTGGAGTTTCCTCATACCGCCTGAGTGCCCGCTCAGGACACGCATTCTTCTTCCAACCTCCACATCATGCACACCATGTTGTTCTAGTATGTTCCTGGGTGTGAACATCCGCTTGTCCAACCTCGCGTGGTTGGTAGGTGGGTTCACAGCGGCTCTATTTTTCACCACCCTCGTGGGGCCCCTTCAGACGCAGCCCGTGCTGCCCTCCGAGGTGTATGAGAACCTAAGAGCCCTGAGCGAGCCTGCCCAGGACGTTTCGGCGAAGCGGATCACCGCATTTGTCGGCATACAGGTTCGTGATTCGACACCGCATGGGGACCGCGAGCGAACCCTCCAGCACCAGCTTCCTACTGCTCAGTCTCACCACTCTCCCCCGCAGACGGGCTTCACGACCAACCACAACAACCCGAAGTACAATTATGAAAACAGACGGGAGGCACTGCGCGCCACATGGGCGCCCTCCAACGAGTCAGAGAGGAGCAAACTCGAGACTGAGTCCGGGATTGTCGCCAGGTTTGTGGTGGGCCACTCCCCCGACTCCGGGGCCGAGGCAGCGCTGAACGCCGAGGAGGCCAAGCATGGAGGCTTCATGCGCCTGGACCTCGTGGTGAGGGGCCATGGGAAGGTGTGGGAGGAGGAGTACTCTGCACAGCGCAGGCGAGGTGCACTTGGAATATTTCATGAAGATAGGGCCCAGTCCTCTCCTCGTTGTAAGGACTGCAGAGCGCGCCCCTCTCACCCTGGTCTGCCACCTGGATGCCCCCGCAGGAAGGGTATGCAGACCTGCCACGAAAGACGCTGCTCTTCTTCGAGACCGTGCTGCGGCAGTATGACCCGCAGTACATCGTCAAGGTCGACGACGACGTATACCTGCGTCTGGACAGGGTCCCGGCAGCCGTGGAGCAGTGGGCCAGCGTCGGCGCAGGTGGGGCGTTGTTGGGACAGGCTGGCGGGGGTGTGGCGTCGCTGGTGCCCCTCACGGATTTGTCGTGGTGAGGAGCCTGGGGAGCGGCAAGTGGCGACGGCGCCGTACCATTCCCGGACTGCGCCTTTCAACGTCGGCACCCAGGCTGATATGCCCACCCTCACCCCTCCCTGCACAGACTACATTGGCTGCATGAAGAATGGACAGGTGATAAAGACGCCTAGGTACCGCTGGTATGAGCCAAGTCACGCCCTGCTGGGGTCCCAGTATTTTACACACACCTGGTGAGGAAAGGGGGAAAGGCTCGCACCACGGTGCAGACAGCTGCTGATCATTGGGAGCTGGCAGGGGTGGGCCCTGCGTGATCACAGGGGCGTGGGATGCCTGCCTGGCGAGGGGCACCACATTTCGTGACAGCGTGCCTGCAATAATCACCACCACCCCAAACAACTCTGACTGGTCACCCACCGTCGCTCACGAGGGGCCAGCCAGGAGCACCCGCTGCACCCCCTCTCCACAACTACTCGCCCACAAAGGTCTGCCCCTCCCTACCCCTCCCATCCCAATGCAGGGGCTCCGCCTACGTCGTCTCCCGCAAGGCCGCGGCGCTGCTGACCTCCCTCCCCACCGGGTCCCTGCGCCACCTGGCCAACGAGGACGTGACCCTGGGCGCCTGGATGCTGGCCCTGAACCTGACGCACTACGACGACCGGCGCATGTGCTCCCCTGTCTGCTCCCCCGCCAGCCTGGCCACCTACGACTACCCCTCCTGCGCCGGGCTGTGCAACGCCGCGGTCCAGCTGCGCGAGCTGCACACCAGCCCCGCCTGCGGGGGACCCGCGCTGACGCCCACGGGCGCGCTGCCCATCCTGGAGCCCGCCATCTTCTTCAACCGGGCGGTGGACCCCAAGTGGGAGGCCAAGGCCCTGTCGCAGATGGCGCGGCAGCGCAGGGCACAGGCAGAGCGTGTCCGAGTGGGTGCCGAACGATGATGCAGGCGGCGGGCTGGGGTATGTGGGGCCGTCACCCCTCGTACCCCGGCCAAGACCGCACTGCTTCTTCTGGACCCTGGAAGGCGCAAACCCTTGACGTGGACCCCCACCTTGCATTCTTTCATTAGGACAGACTGCCTTCTTCGTTTGACAACAAGCTGCTCACAGTTGACAGGGAAGGGACACGGGGCAGGGCTGCCTCCCTGGTACACCGTGCGAGCACCGCGGTGAGACATGCGCCGCGCCCGTTTCAGGAGCTTGCCCGCTCGCTGCGGAACTCTATGGACCAGGTGCCGCGGACGGGCAGGTGCGGTCGCCGCACCACCAGCGCCAGCGATGGCCCCTCCGATGCCACCTGGACGGGGCCCGGGGCGGCGTCCAGCGCCACCCGCGGGCCCACAGCCCCCGCCACGGCCACTGCGGACCAGTCCTGGGGGCCGCCCTCAAGTCCCAGCACCACGACGCGATCGACGTAGACCTGCAGGAGGGAGATTCGGTGACGGGGAGGTTTTCGACCACGCTACCACCCAGCAGTGGCAAGCCGGCGGCAGCTGTCTTCGGCGGGGCGCAGGGCTGGTCGGGTGCTCCCCAGGTGCTGGGGTGGGAGGTTGCCTGAGCAGCACTCAGCACCCTGCTGCACTCGCGTCGGGGCTGGGTCCCCACCAATCCCAGGTGGACAGGTGAGCCTCCCTCGAGCACCCTTGCCGCTGCTCATGCTCTCACACCCCTACCCACCTCTGGGTCGTAGCCGGGGGCCGGAGGAGGCAGCCCCATCTGAGCATGGTCCCCGGGCCCCCACTCCAGCACGCCGCCCTTCATGGTGATCTGGGCATAGACAAACTCGCCGGCCTGCGATGTGGGTGGGTGGGGGGTGTCGGGGGCGCATGCATGCATGCTCTGTGTGGAGTGCTCTCGGACCTCCGGCCTCTGGTCCAAACCATCGGCCCCCATTCAGTCACGTTTCAGACTGGTGTGCATTGCCTTTACCCTCCTGCTTGTCCCCTGCCTCCTGCCTCGCACACCTGGTAGGCGTAGCTGCGGCCGTCGTCCATGTAGAGGTCCCCCCTCGCACCACCGCTCCGATCCAGAGCCACGACCAGGGTCAGCGGATCCTTGGCCATGGCCCGGGTCGACCGACGTGGCCTGCGAGGGTGGGGGGTTGAGTGTGCTGGAAGGTGTGGAGGAGGGCGGGTGAACGGAGGCCCCTGGATGGCAGGAAGCCCACTGACCGCCAGAACCAAGGCAGAATGCTGGGGTCATTGGGTATAAACGTGCCGTCTGGGGACCCGCGGGTGTCCCACAGGCTCCTCGCGCTTTTGGCAAAGCACGATGTGGACCCGCGAGGACCCCCTCAACAAGAGAAACCATCTCTCCCCCCCCCCTCACCGCTCCCGGAGGACCAGGGTGGACCCGCCACGCAGGTAGGTCTGCACCGGCGCGTCCAGCGAGGTGGCCACCCGGAACAGCTTCCGGCCGGGCGCCGCGGCGTCCAGCTGGAGCCCCATGGTGCCGTCGTACCACAAACCGTCGCCGGGCAGGACCACCACGGTGTCGTTGGCGCCCTGGCGCAGCACGGGCACTACGAGCTGGGAGTCGCCGAGCATGAAGGCGTTGTGCACGGCGTAGATCAGGGCGTCCCCCGGGAACTCCCACCAGAGCGGGCGCATGATGGGGGCGCCGGTGGCATTGGCGTGCAGGAAGAGGGTGTACAGCTGCGGCAGGATGCGGTACCTGCGGCATGAGGCACATGTGAGTGAGGGGGGATGGTGGTGATGGAAGGCCTTGGGTGGGGGGCCAGCGGGTGTCAGCAGGGCATGGTGAAGGCCTCCCAGAGGTTTAGGTCCCGGGGGGGGGGGGGGGGGGGGTTCAGGGACACCAGCAGCTGGGAGTTGCAGGCTCATGATCAAACAAGTGAATGCACGAACGAGGAACACCTCGATAGGGATGACGGGGATGACGCATGCTGCGAGGCACTGGGCCTGCTTCCCCTAGCCCCGCACCTCTGCTGCAGAGCGGAGCGAATGCGCCCTGTGGTTTCCTCCCCAAATAGCCATGGCTCTCGGCGCTTGGTCTCGATGTGAGCGTGCGCCCTGCGATTGGAGTCAAGGGTGGTGTGTCTCCGCCTGCTCCCTACTACCAGAGCCCAGGGGTAATCCGCAAGCCTTGTGCGCGCGACAGAGTGGCGTGGCCCTGTGCATGCATGCACCCTCAAATGCCCGCACGCCACTTGGTGGCGGGTCTCTGCACAATTCTGGTGTACTCCCTTCGGGATAAAAACTAGGACAGTGACAGGACCCATGCGGTACCTGAAGAAGGGGTAAAACGCTGCCACCTGGTACCAGCGCACGAGGAGCTCAGGCTCGGGGTTGCCAAAGAAGCCGCCGACATCTGCACCTGGCAGTTTGGGGAGGGGATTGCCTTGGTTAGATGTGAGCCCACTGCGAGCGGGCAGGCACAGAAGCAGCTTCACTGCAGCGCGGCACATCCACACACCAGCGATTGCCCCGTTTCCTCACCAGAGAAGGGCAGCCCCGCGACGTTGAGGGAGAGCAGCATGGGGATGGAGACCTCTAGATGCGCCCACTCCGCCGCATTGTCCCCGGTCCAGATGGGCCCCACGCGCTGCGTACCGGAGAAGAAGGCGCGGGACAGGACGAAGGGGCGGTCCCCTGACACGGTGTCCACCTCCTTGTACCCGCGCCGCCTGGTGGAAGGAGGGATACGCGGCGTTGATGTCAGCAATGCAGAACATGCTACGACGCATGCTGTCAGACCACAGGCAGTAGCTCCACCATCTATGACTTGTGCCCAACCGGCATGGCCGCTGCATCCAATCGCTTCATGCCGTATTCTAGGCACAACAATCACCCTGCAGCACCCACCTCAGCCCCGAGGCCGTGGCCATGTGGTAGAAGAGATGATCAAACAAGTGAATGCACGAACGAGGAACACCTCGATACATCACCGAGGGATGACGCATGCTGCGAGGCACTGGGCCTGCTTCCCCTAGCCCCGCACCTCTGCTGCAGAGCGGAGCGAATGCGCCCTGTGGTTTCCTCCCCAAATAGCCATGGCTCTCGGCGCTTGGTCTCGATGTGAGCGTGCGCCCTGCGATTGGAGTCAAGGGTGGTGTGTCTCCGCCTGCTCCCTACTACCAGAGCCCAGGGGTAATCCGCAAGCCTTGTGCGCGCGACAGAGTGGCGTGGCCCTGTGCATGCATGCACCCTCAAATGCCCGCACGCCACTTGGTGGCGGGTCTCTGCACAATTCTGGTGTACTCCCTTCGGGATAAAAACTAGGACAGTGACAGGACCCATGCGGTACCTGAAGAAGGGGTAAAACGCTGCCACCTGGTACCAGCGCACGAGGAGCTCAGGCTCGGGGTTGCCAAAGAAGCCGCCGACATCTGCACCTGGCAGTTTGGGGAGGGGATTGCCTTGGTTAGATGTGAGCCCACTGCGAGCGGGCAGGCACAGAAGCAGCTTCACTGCAGCGCGGCACATCCACACACCAGCGATTGCCCCGTTTCCTCACCAGAGAAGGGCAGCCCCGCGACGTTGAGGGAGAGCAGCATGGGGATGGAGACCTCTAGATGCGCCCACTCCGCCGCATTGTCCCCGGTCCAGATGGGCCCCACGCGCTGCGTACCGGAGAAGAAGGCGCGGGACAGGACGAAGGGGCGGTCCCCTGACACGGTGTCCACCTCCTTGTACCCGCGCCGCCTGGTGGAAGGAGGGATACGCGGCGTTGATGTCAGCAATGCAGAACATGCTACGACGCATGCTGTCAGACCACAGGCAGTAGCTCCACCATCTATGACTTGTGCCCAACCGGCATGGCCGCTGCATCCAATCGCTTCATGCCGTATTCTAGGCACAACAATCACCCTGCAGCACCCACCTCAGCCCCGAGGCCGTGGCCATGTGGTAGAAGAGTCCGTTGGCATTGTGCAGGTCCCGGTGCTCCACCCCCTGGACATGCCGCGCATCCTTGGGCATGGTGATCTGCGAGAGGCGATTGGGTTATGAGGAAGGCCTTGGGTATTGGGTCGTTCATGGGAGCAGATTTACGGAGCGGCCCGGGACAGAAAGGAGGGGTCTGGATGCTGCAGGGCGCCGGGAACATAGGGGCCTGGCCCAGCGCCCCTACGAGGCTCAATAATTTCGGCTCCCAGGCGCCAAGGTCACGCAGGCTTGGGCGCAGTATCCCCAAGATGCAGCCATACCCGCACCCGGTCCCGTGTCCCCCACCCCAAAGTCCCTGCCCCAAATCCCACCTCGGGGCCATTGAACACCGACGGCTCATTCATGTCGTTCCAGATGTACAGGTCAGTCGTACTGCCTTCGTACACCGACGTCGAGAACTGGTCGGCCCACCAATCGCGAACTGTAGGGTTGAGCATATCCAGGTACGCACTCTCCCCGGGCCAGCAGTGCCTGGAGAAGAGATAGTGGATGGAAGGGCTAAAGGGGCTCTCAACGGTCTTAAAGACCACTTCACGATAGGGATCTGAGTGTGGGAGGACTGCATAGTAGGTAAAAGCATGCTGCTCTTCCCACCCTGGTCCCCTGTTGGGCACCATGCCATTGAAAGACCAAAAGTGCTTAGGGCCAAACCCACCCCTTGAAGTCTGCGCCATCCTTGGTCTTGACAAACAGCTGCTTCTCCTCCGCCTCCTTGAACACACGGTAATTTGGGTCGCTCTTGATATGGGGGTCCACGATGGTCACCATCTGGAAGAGGGGGAGGAGAGTCATGGTCGGTGGAGGGGTGATGATCGGGGGAGGGATGATGATTGGTGGAGGGGTGATAATGGGGGGAGAGGTGATGATGGGTTGAGAAGTGATGGTTGGGGGAGAGGTGATGGTGGGAGAGTTGTGCAAATTGGTGGAGGGGTGATAATGGGGGGAGAGGTGATGATGGGTTGAGAAGTGATGGTTGGGGGAGAGGTGATGGTGGGAGAGTTGTGCAAATTGAGGTATCCAGATGCATGCCAATGGCGGGCAGAAACCCAGAGTGAGGGCCCCCCCACCCCTGACTGGCCACCCCCACGCACTTTGCGCCCCCGCGACGCAAGGTCGCTCTGCATCGCAATCGGGTTTGGGAAGTAGGCCTTGTCCCAGGTGAAGTATCTATGGGCGAGATTCGAGGTTGCCACAGATCAGTCCAGGAAGGAGTCTGCGCATAGAGTGGCCCAGCCACAGCAGCATCCTTCCCAGCATGCTCTTGGGAGACTTGGCAAGGGCCTGAGGACTCTTGGAAACCCCAGAGAGTGTTCCAGACCAAGCAATAGATTGCTCGGCCAGCACCCCGCCTTTCTAAGAGACGCGCAATCGCCGCAGCTCCTTCGCCCCACCCACCTCTTGCCGTCGGTGTGCTCGATGTCCAGCCACAGCACATCATAGGGCAGGGCATGCTCCTCAAACCCAGCATCCACCGCCGCGATGTCCGCCTCATCTTTGTAGTTCCAGCGGCACTGGTGGTGCCCCAGGGAGAAGAGCTGAGGCATGGCGGTGCCGCCCGTGAGCACATGGTACTGGGAGGGCAGGAAAGAGGGGAAGAAGGGTCGTATGAGTGCATGCCAATGGGCAGTCCCAGGCGTGGTCCAGGTTGCCGGGCGCACACGCCCCTCTCGGTCACAGGTGGGCGCAGAGATCATCCTCCTCAGCACCTCCATTTCAGCTCTAATTGTGCAGCAAGGCAGGGTGCATCAGATCGCAGGAGCTCAAGTAGCTTGCTGGGGTCCTCCCTTCACGCACCTGCCGTGCCACCTCTGGGGGCGAGGGCCCTAGGAGGAAGAAGAGGTCCAGCACGCCGCTCTCAGCGATCCATCGGGTGCTGGTGCCGGCGACGCTCTTCACCACGTCCACATACATCTCTGCCGCGTTCAGCCTGGGGTGTGGGCGGGAAAGGGGCGGTGTAGATCCATATAAATCTGCTGAGGCAGGCCACAGGCTCACCAAAAAGCACCCACAGCATCACCTTTCCCACCATTTCCGCCCAATCCCAACCTCTGTCCCATCCGGCCCACCAGAAGACTCCGGTGGTTTGGCCGGAGCGGTGGCCAATCAGGTAGGGGATGGAGCCGTAGAGGCCAAAGGGCGAGTTGGAGAGGTGCTCAAACACGTCCAGGTTGTAGAGGCGGTATGGCTCGCTGACAGTCCCATTGTCGTCTGCGGCGGTCGGGTGTTGATGAGGGGAGGGGGGGGCTATGTACAATGAAGTCCCAAGGGAGGTTGCATTGAGAAGGGATGCTCGACTTGGAGCACCCAGCTCCAGCCCCATGACTTTGGGATTCGCTGAAACTGCCTCCCTGTTGCAATCCAGATGACCAACCTCACATGCAAGGTCGCCATTCTGAAACCCCCCGCGCCGCCTCACCAATGGTGGGCGCCAGAGAGAACTGGGTCGCGCGCTCTGGCAGCCCAAAGACGTGCTGCGTGTCGTGCAGCAGGACATCAAAGCCGATGGCGTTGGGTCCGCGGGGCTTGGAGTCCACGTGGCCGTTAAAAGTCTCCTCCCACCACCCGGCCGGATCATTCTCCTGTGAGGAGGGGGAGAGAGGAGGGGAGCAGGGAGTAACGCATTGCATGACTTGCGTCCAGGCGTTAAAGGACGGTGCGATGTTGAAACAGCTCTTCTCAGCTGCAAGCCTCGGGCCTCCTCAATTGAAAAAGAGTTTCCCAAAGCCAGAACAAACCCCGGAAGAATCCCAGGGCCTTGAGAGACATCCTGGTTCCCACCTGCTTGGTGCGGGTATGCTCAAAGGCAAAGTGGCCGTCGGCGTTCCAGGTCAGCACGTGCGTGCCGTCCGATGCGGTGACAGAAAGGGCAACTGGTGAGAAGTTCAGCGATGCAGTGGCGCCACTGGATGTCCTCAGCTGCAGGGCAGAGCTGGACTGGGACACGATGGTCCACTCCTGCGCAGGGTGAAGCATTTGCTCGAGGCTTTATTTTACGAGATGCGCAGGTCAGGGGTGGTGGCGCCCATGCCAGGTAGGGAGCCCGCGCATGCACCCTCCCGCCCCCCAGCATTGCTCGCCCGGTGGACGACACACCACCAACCTGTTGGGAGGCAGAGGCCGAGGGCACCAGGATGCCCGGCACCTCGAAGCGCGTCCCGTCCAGCTCGTTGATGTGCAGGCGCACGATGCCCCCCATGCTGATCAGGCGCAGGATGAGGGTGGCGCCGGGGGCGGCGGGGGAGGCCAGATGGGCCACCACATGGGCACCGCTCACGCTCACGCTGGTGGGGTCGATGGCAAAGCCGGGGCCGGGGGCGTTGCGCAGGCGAGTGCAGAAGGCAGAATCGGCGCAGGTCTGCATGGATCGGATGAGATATTGGGTATGAGGTGAAGTTGGGTGCTGTTCTGGACCGCGGTAGGCTCGAACCGAGCCTGCAAGATCGGCTTGCCTTGAAGTCGGAAGCCTTAACAGCGTCCACCGCATGCCCTGCTGCCAGCAGGAGAATGACCGTCATGGCCAATGCGCATGATCTGAGATGCATGATGATGATGTGCTGGGACGGCCGTGCCTTTTGAGCCAGCTCCCTCGGCAAAGCCCGCGGGAGTTTCAAGTACTGCCAAGCCCAGCACGCTTGACGGACTCGGGAGATCAGCAAGGAGCTTCAAAGGGGACGGACTCGCATCTTTGCAATCATAAGTTTGCGGTGATGAGGGATGGTTGGGCCAGTTGGTATGCCTGTGGCGTTTGCCATAGATCATTCGCAGGGATCGCTGAGTGTTGGGACCCCCAGCCCTGAAATGCATGATGCGGACAGTCCGACATCAAGGTTCCGAGAACCAGAAACACCCTTGGCAAGGAGTAAAGATATACCTCATTCCCTGCATGCCATAATAAAACACTATTGAGGTGTCGACATGCTCCGTAGGTAGCATCGAGGTCATCTGAAATTTACGCGGGGGGGGGGGGGCGAACCCTAGCACCTGCCCAATGCTGCCGGTCTATTTCGCCATTTCGGAAGCTCCAGAGCATAAGCAACCAGGCCACGTAGAGAGACCAGAGAGAATTGCAGCCATCCAGGCTGCTCTCCAGTCGTTGGGTCTGTTGGACAACCTTAACCAGGTGCATGCAGGGAGAGGATTGGGGGGGAAGCAGGGAGCTCTCAGGAACTGCCCCCATCATCTTGACAGACCACCAGCCCCCTGCTGCACTCCAGGTTCACAGCACGATTCCTGGAGAGATTAGAGATGCTGTCATTGACAGCGTGCATGCATACCGCGACGCCCTCCTGTCCAGAGGGGCGGCGGCGCCTGGACCATACGTCGGTGACACACTGGCAATTGCAGACTTTGACGATCCCGACGGCCAGACCTTCCTCACCTCTGCATCACTGCCCCTGGCATTGCAGGCATGTGCGGATGGTCTGCTGGTTGCAATACTCCCTTCAGTACTCCTCACACTCCTCAACATGCACAATCACCACCCTGGGGGCAGGCCGTGAGTCTGACGCTGAGCACCCTGAGCCAAGTCGTGTCGAGCAGCTGCCCCGGGGTCTGCTTCCTGCGGCCCCCGGGACACCATGCCACAACAGCGGGTCCCATGGGGTATTGCCTATTCAACAACGTGGCGGCGGCAGCCCGCTATGTGCAGAAGCACCTCTCCCTGCCCAAGGTGTGTGGCTGTAATCTGTGTGCATGATGGGTGTGGTGCTGGTGGAACGTTTTGGCGCCAGTCTCCGTTTTGGCAGGCGAAGGTCCAGGGGGGCCCCAAAGGTCAGCCAACCCCGCCTTCTGTGCGGCATCACTGGCATGTTCACCTGCTTCACAGGTCATGATTCTGGATTTTGACGTGCACCATGGCAACGGGACGTGCGAGATCTTCGACACGGATCCCTCGGTGCTGGTGCTGGATGTGCACGAAGAAAGCGCGGTCTACCTGGAGTACGGGTCGGGCGTGGACGATGCTGGGCGTGGGGAGGGCGGGGGCTTCACCATCAACGTGCCCCTGCCCCGTGCGTGGTGTCTGATTGGGATGCGGCAAAGGATGTACTCTAACTCAGATTGAGGGTGTTAAAGAGGGGCCCTGACGCATGCTCCATGCTTCGGCAGGGATGCAGGCATGCTCCCAGTCTTCTGTGGTGCGTGCAGTGCAGTGCACACGGTGCGCAGTCTGCGTACAGGCATTGCTTGCACCCTTTGGATGTGGCATTGTTCGTTCCCTACACCGCTGATGTCCAGCCACAGACACTTTACCCCTTCCCTGTGCCTTCCCCCAGGGGGTGCCGGCCATGCCAGCGTACTCAAGGTGTGGGATGACATCGTCGCACCCGCCGCTGAGCGCTTCCGTCCCGACCTCATACTGGTGTCGGCCGGCTTTGATGCGCACGAGGACGACCCTTTCCAGCTCCTGTGCTACCGGACTGAGACCTACGGCGAGCTGGCCTCCCGCCTCTGCGCCCTGGCGACCCGTCTGTGTGGTGAGTGCCACCCTGCATATGTCTGCGGTTGGTTCCTGGCCAGGGTTTAGCGATGTGGGTGATGCGCAGTGGATTCAAGCACGCCGCACCCATGCGCAGAGGGAAGGATCCTATTTTGTCTGGAGGGCGGCTACAACACCGAGGCCCTGGCTGCGTCTGTCACTGCGGTCTGCTCTGCGCTCCTGAGGAGGAATGCGGTCCCGGAATCTCCACTGCTCAGCGTCAAGGATGAAGGAGTTATTGATGAGCCTTCTGAGCTGGCTGACCAGGTCTCCGCTGTCATCGCCAGGGTCAGGCAAATACATGGCCTTGGCTAGCAACCTTCCCCCTACATGACTCGACCCATGTGTCACACGCTTGTGTTCTGTCCTCCATCATATCACCCATGACTTGGCACCCATGTGTAGTACGCTCACGACTCCTCCTGTACACGATGCACACCACACTCAACGCATCAAGAGCCACAGCATGGTTCGTCACAGGCTCAAGCGGGCACTCCTTCTCGGCACGCCTCTTCCAGAAGTGCAGCCCAGGCCTGCTGCAGTATGGGCAGGGCCGGCGCGGGGTACCAGGCTCGTAGCTCTCGGAGGAGGAACCCTGGCTCGTCCAGGAGGGCCGCCAGCAGGCTCCGCCGCGAGTCCACCCCCGCCCGCTCCAGGGCCAGCAGGAGGTTCGAGACCCTGGCCCCACCCCTGGCCCCTGGCCGCGCCAGGGCGGCGGGCGGGGCGGCCAGACCCCCCGCCAGCGGCTCCAGCGCCGGCAGCACCCTGCCCTCCAGCAGCGCCGCGGCGAAGCGCGCGCAGCGCTCGGCTGGGTCGGGGTGGGGCGCGGCGGTGCGCGGCATGGCCCAGCCGTGCCGGCCGAAGGTCACCTCGTGCCAGGCCAGCACCGCATCGCGGGCGGGGCTGTAGAAGGGTGCCGGGGCGGGGAGGGGTGCGCTCAGGCTGCACAGCGCGGCGGCGGTGGCGGGGAGCCAGGCCGGGTCCAGGGCTGTGACCCCGGAGACGTAGGGTCGCTTAGCGGTGCGCACCAGGTCTGTGTAGAGCAGGAATGCGGGGGGCGCGCGGTGCAGGCCGGAGAGGGGGTGCAGGAACACCGGCTCCTCGAGCTCCGCGGCCTGGTACCGCACCGCGCGGGAGCTGTAGCCCTGTGGGGTGAACCGGGTGGTTGGCTTGGTGAATGAGGAGAGGATGGACGCGTGAAGCGGCTGACGATCGCGCTTGCCTGCTTGCCAGGGGGTCTCGTCCCACACAACCAAGTGTGGGAGAAGTGTCACTTTCTCCCCTTCACACCCACTCGATCCGGTGTCCCCCCCCGACCCAAGATCCATACCTGCTCCCTCTGCCCTGCCAGGTACTCTGCGGAGCGCTGGCGCCTGGCCACGCGGTCCGGCCAGCCCGCCAGCATGGCCCGGCGCAGGGCGTCGGCCACCGCCGGCCCCGGCGCCGGCAGCGGCTTCACGCCGTCCAGGGCAGCCAGGCTGACCGCGTGGTCCCCCCCGAGTCCATCCACGGGGCAGGCGGTGAGCACACGGGCCAGCTGGGCGCGGAGGGCCACGGCCTCCTCCAGGTGCCGCGCGTGCAGCCCGGCGCCGGCAGCCCAGCCCGCGTCGCGGCCGTGCGCCAGGTAGGCGCACAGCGCGCGCAGCGCGCTCAGCCCGTCGCTGTCCTGGTCGCGCAGCGCGGCCTGTGCCTTGCGGCGCGTCTCCGCGGCGGCGGCGGCAGCGGCCGCCGCGGTGGCGTCGTCGCCCCCCCCAGGCGCCGCCAGCTGGAGGAAGGGCGACTCCACCGACAGCGCCGCGGCCAGCGCGACGCCTGCGTCCAGCAGCCCCGCCGCGCGGCCGCCCTCGCTCGCGGCGTGGAGCAGCATGCGCGCGTGGCGCGGGTTCACCGGCAGCGCGGCCATGGCGCGGCCCAGCGGGGTCAGTTCCTCGTCGCCGGCGCGCAGCGCGCCCAGCGTGGTCAGCACCGCCACTGCGGCGCGCAGTGCGCTGGGCTCGGGCGGCGTGGGGAAGGGGAAGTTGTGCACGCGCGCCACGCCCATGGACTTGAGGGACAGCACCACCGACTCCTGGGGCGAGCCCAGGATCTCGGGCGCCGCGTGCGCGGGGAAGGCGTCGTTGAAGACCGCGGAGGAGAACAGTCGGTAGGCGTGGCCAGGGCCCGTGCGCCCAGCGCGCCCAGCGCGCTGCGCGGCTGAGGCCTGGCTCACCCAGCCCACCTCGTACCGGGCCATGCCGCTGGCCGTGCTTTCCAGCACGCGCTGCTTGGCGCGCCCCGCATCCACCACGTACCGGATGCCTGGAGACCGGGGGGGAGATAGGGATTGGGGGTGCGACAGGGGGGGTGAGGTAGGGTGTGTTGGGGGGGGGGAAGATGTGCGCAGAAGCCCAGGCGGGCGGCTGCTGGAGGACCCCAGGCGGCGAGGAAGCCTGGACTCCACGCCATGCATTCTGCCCATTCCCTGACCGAAAGCCTTGCAAAGGAGCCCCCACATGATCCTGCACGACCCCATCGACGCCTCACCGGGGATGGTGAGGGAGGTCTCTGCCACGTTGGTGGCGACGATGACCAGGCGGTGGCCGGGCGGCGCAGGCCTGAAGACCTCGGCCTGCCCCGCAGCAGGCAGCATGGCGAACAGCGGGACGACGTGAACGGGGCCGGGCCCCTGGGCAGCCCGTGATGGAGCGGCGGGGGCGGGAGCAGTCAGGCCCTGCGACGGGAGCAGGCGAAGAGGGGTGGGATGGTTGTGCTGACGAGGGGTTCCGCCTGCCTGTGGTCAGACGGTGGACCCTGCACGATATGCAGAGCCCAGGTCGAGGCATGCACGCTGGCGTCTCCTCCCACATCAGGATGGCAGGGAGCGCAGACCGCCCCCATCCTCGCTCACCAGTCTCTTTTCGAACTCGGCTTCAGCCAGGGCTAGCTGCTCTGGCGTGAAGCCCGCTCCACCCATGACATCGACTTCCTCCTCCTCCTCTTCATCTATGAGAGGCAGGGGAGATGGGAATGAGGATTTTGCCGAGGCTGCAAGCATCAGTCAGTGCCGGAGATGCGTCTTTGGCAAGACCAGGGAGGCAGATTCGTGGGATCAGAGCACAGTAGGCAATGCTCAAACGCCCTGAAAGAGTGCCATAGCAATGTGGAGTGCCAAGCCTACCCCGTACCTGGTGCATCCCAATGCCCCTCCATGGAAGTAGTCCAGCTCACCTTCTCCATCGTCAAAGTCGTCCAGGTCCTCTGCCTCGGCATCCAGGAAGTCGATGGCATCCGCGCCAAACCCTTCCTCTGCCGCGTCGCCTCCAGACACGATGTCGCCGGCCTCCTCCGGCGGCGCAGAGGCTGGCAACGCCGGCTGGTTTCGTCTTTGGGCCTTGAAGGTGGTCTCGAGCTGCTTGCACAGCTGCTTGACCTCGGCCTGCCCGGTAAGGAAAACCAGGATGCCACCGGGGGGCAGCTGCCTGTGTATTTGTGCCACCTGCGTTGCATTGCATTGGGGTACAGAGATGGGAAGGAGGGGAGGTGTCGAGTGCTGAGCCCAGGGTGGCGAGACAAGCAGAATCCCACACCCAGTGGGAGCCTTGAACCTCCTGGGCATCAATACCTGGTGTAATGTAGCAAGCTCATCTGCTAACCATCCTCAGGACCGAGCCTCCCGAACACACCGTGCATGCTGCAACCCATGCTGCCACAGCCCCACTCACCTTGCGATGCGCTGCACCCACGTAGTCGTTCATCTCCGTTCGACGGCTGAAGTGCACCGTCACAGGGTACTGCCTCGCCGGCACGGTGATCAGGGGCGGCGGGCGCGGGAACAGGCGCTGGTTTCCGACAAAGTCCTCCACCCTGCAGGGCATCCACGGGAAGGTTGAGGCTCATGCAACCTTCTGCCCTGTGTCAGAGCATCATACACTTCTGGACGCCGGCACTCTGACACCCAATCACCAAACAGCAGGCTCCTGGACTGCCCTGCATCCATGACACCTACATGCCCCCCCCCCCCCTCACCTCAGGGTGGCGCTCATGATCACCAGCTTCAGAGGCCAAACCGGAACCCCACCAGGGCCTTGCTGCTGCTGCGAGTGCATCTGCCGTCGCAGGGAAACAACCCGGGACAGGAGTCCTGAGGGGGTATTTAGGAACAGGGACGGGGAAATGTTTTGTAGAGTGTGAAGCTCCAGGGTGTGCTCCAGGATATTTGGTACCACAGCATATGACCCTTCGAATGGACATGAGGCTGGTGCCCATGAGCGACATGCCTGGCTGTCGTGAAAGCTCGGTGTGGGTAGCTGGCGCTCAAACATAAGTCCCCCCAGGCCCCGCCTCGCAGCCCTCGATTCCGACACCAACAGCACGACAGCGCCCCTTCCCGACCGATCTTACCCAGCAGGATGTCTGTGTTGAGGGACCTCTCGTGCGCCTCATCCACCAAGATGGCGCTGTAGTGGGGCAGCAGGAAGTCGTGCTGCAGCTCCCTGCAAGCACGGGACAGAGGTGGGGCATGAAATCGACCGGGGCTGTGCAACCGCGGCAGTCTGCGCGTGCAGCTGCAAGCAAGACGACGCCTGCCTGTCCAGGCCTCCGTTTCCAGTTACAATGTGCCCTGAGCCTGTCCTGCACCTGAGCAGGATGCCGTCTGTCATAAACTTGAGCGCCGTCGCGTCGCCCACGCTCCTGTCGTAGCGCACCTGCACACACGTGCCGGGGATGGAAGTTGTGTCCCTTGACCGCCAGGCACCCTGGCCCCCCTCCCTGCCCTCCCAGCGTCGTCATGAGGCCCCTTGCACCAGCAGCAAACCCCACCGCCCTCCACTCACCTGGTACCCAACCACGTCCCCCAGTCGGCTGCCCAGCTCGTCCGCGACGCGCTCTGCTGTGGAGATGGCGCCAATACGCCGGGGCTGGGTGATCCCGACCGCGCCAGCCCGTTCCGGGAAGCGGGGGCAGCCGAAGCCGGCCTCGAGCAGAAACTGGGGCACCTGTTGCCAAGGGGGATGGGTGAGAGGCATGCGGTAATGGGCCTTGATGCAATAGAGGATGAACGCGACAGGACATATGCACTGCTTCGGGACCCATACATTGCATTGGAAAACGTTCCCTGCAGCAGGACAGCGTGGAAGGTGATGGCCACCTCGGCGCACAACAACCCCCATCATGATCCTGCCACCGTCCTCGCCCACCTGGGTGGTCTTGCCACACCCCGTCTCCCCGGAGAGCACGACCACGTCGTGCTCGGCCAGCAGCTCCATGATCTCCTGCTCCATGCCCAGGATGGGCAGGCCCTCTCTGGGTTGAAAGAGGGAGGGAGGTGTGGTTCTGCGAGCGCCATGCCCAACCAGACGTCTAAGGACTCCCCGCATTCTGCCGCAAACTGAATCACACAGCAAAACCCTTCCTCCCCACAGCACCCACACCTGGCAGCCTGGATCTCGGGCCTGCGCTCCACCGAGACTGAGCGGGGGTGGGGAAGGTTCTCGCGGGGCACGCTGGGCGCCAGGCGCGCGGGCCCCTCGTCCTCGTCAGCACCGCCCAGCCCGTCGCCCAGGCCCAGCTGCTGCCTGGCCTGCGCCAGCGCCTGGGCCAGGGGCGGGTGGGGAGCGGTGTCACTCCCGGACTCCTCACCACCTGTGCGGGCCTTCTTGAGGGCCGGCTGCGCCTCTTCCTGAGGAGACTGGGGCTCGTCCCACCGGCGCGGCGCAAACTGCGTGCGCGCGGGGGCGCTGGAGGGCCGGGGTGTCGCCTCCTCCTCGCTGCTGCTGTCGTCGCTGCTACCGACGTCCGATTCCGAGTTGGGGTTGTGCCGCGGGGTGGGGACGTCGTCGTCCTCCACGTGGTGACCTGCGGCGCGCAGGGCCTGCCTGCGCGCCGACACCTCCTTCCTGGTCTCCTTCTGGCCGCGTGCAGCGAGGGGGCGCAGGGCCTGCAGCGTCTCCGGGTCCAGGGCGGTCTGGGAGAGGGATTGCAGCACGTTGTCACGCGCGCTGCGGCGCTCCTTCTCCTCCTGCACGCGCCGGGCCTTGCGCTTCTGCGACTTGCTCAGCGGCTTGGCGACTGGCTCGGCAGGCTCCTCCTCCTTCTGACCGCAGGTGCCACCCATCGCAGGGAGGATGAGGGCATTGCTGTCAAAGGGGAGCTCTTGCCTGCGACAGGAGGGTGGGGCAGACGGGGGGCTTGGGGTGTGGCTAGCCGGATGTCAGCCCGGGGCCTGCATGCTCCCCCGCCCCACAGGCTCACTCAGCATCGTCTCCATCTGTCAGTCCGATAGGGGCCTTGAACTGCTTGCTGGACAGGGATATCTTATTCTTCTGCTTCCTCTGCCGCTTGCTCGTCAGTCTCCGCATGGCGACCACGCCTGGTCAGTCTCAAGACTCCGCAGCTACCATGCGGGCCATGCCTATCAATTAACCTCATGCATTGCGCAATGTTCTTAATGTAGTACCCTTTTATCCCTCGAGGCGAGTCTCGCTGAGTCTCGTCGATTCACTTCGTCTCGTAGGCTGTGCGCGCGCGCGCTCTCGCACACTTCCGGGCGTTCCTGTTCAAGGGTGAACATGTACATGAGTGATCTGCATTCCTCTCCCTGTGCTGTGCTCTGGTGGTGTCCTCTTGTGAGATCAAATATGGCCTGAATCAGATTGCTTCAGAGCAGGTCGCAGGAAGGCAACCGGATGGGACGCTCCAGAAGCCGGAGCAGGTCTCCTCGCAGGACCCATAGGTCTCGGAGTCGGTCTGCGGATCGCTACAGGCACCGCTCAAGCAGGGAAAAAGACTGTGACGAAGAGGCGGATAAGCGTAAGTATGCTGGATCTACACCAGCCCAGCACCAGCACCAGAGCACAGGTGGCACTGCGGCGAGCAGTGATGCAGAGAAGAAAGCGGCTCGCCTGGCCAAGCTCCAGGCGTGGAAGCTGCAGCAGGCGGGAGGTGTATCCAGTGCTCAGCATCCGGCCCCTCCAGTGACCATGGCGGTGCACCAGGCCCACCCCATTTCTCCTCCCACTGCCCTGCCATTGCCTGCCCAAGGAGGCGGTCAGAGAGACGAGGACGAGGTGGACCCTCTGGATGCCTTCATGGCAGCAGAGGTACGGGTAGCAATACATTGGTTTTTTTCCATAAGTCTGGTGGCTACTTGCCAACAGATCCTCTGGTCATATCATCTGTTGGGTTGCAACACGACCAGCGCAAACCGTACGCGCAGGTACTCCCAGAGGTCGCTGCACGTGAAGCTGAGGAGAAGAAGCGTGCCGAAGATGAGCGTGCCAAGCTGAAAGAACTCTTGGCGAAGGGCAAGCTGCCAAAGGCACTGGAAGAGTTGATCCAGGACGATCAGGAGGAGACTCCTGATGAGATCATCGAGGCGAGTGGTCGGCTATGGTCAGGAATTCAGTGCGAGGGTGTGTTGCATGCAATGTGCTTCGTAACAAGTGTGCAGCATGCGAGAGTGTCCCTGGCGACACCCATCACTCGCTTCACAACTTGAGCTGATTGTTGGGACAGCCTAACTTGTTTCTATCATCCTCCAAATGGACAAGTTGTGTTTTTGGCTTAATCCATTCGACTCCTACAGATACCCTCCAACAAAGTGAAGCTGGTGGTCGGCCCGGCAGGAGAGAAGATCAAATTCATCCAGCGAAAGAGCAAGTGCCGCATCCAACACGCAAAGGAAGAGCAGGAACTGGAAGTTGGCTTCGGCATGGGACCTCTGTACAATCTCCCCATCAAGACCAATGACCCCAATGCACCTGTGAGTGGGGATAGGTGGAGCAGACGGTCTATGTCGGCATTGCTGGTTGGATATAGAGTCTCAGACTGATGTTGGATACAGGCAACAACATCTCACTGGGATGGTGCTGATCATTGGCATCGCTGCCTGCTGAAGCACTGCCTTTGACCTGATTCGCAGCCCAAGATGACCAAGCTCCTCTTATTTGGTGATTCCACCGCGGTGGAGGCTGCGAGAGTGCTGATCATGGAGGCCATCGACAACCGGGAACAGAAAGTCAAGCAGCGCCAAAAGGAATACGATAAGAAGAAGGACGTGAGTTGTGTTCTTGAGTTCCCTTCCGTATGCAGCGATCCTTGCTGAGCCCGTGAATTCGGACTCTTCGGCCCACTGAATTGATTCATTTGGGCGCAGGGCCCCATGCCATCTGTGGCCTCTTGTACATCCCATATCCCTCTGAGTATCTCCACTTCCCCTTCAACATGCTGTCCGCTCGATATCTGCTCCAACAGGCAAAGAGGCTGCAGCGGCAACTGTACCACATGAGGCACGCCCTTGACTATGAGACGCTGGGCCTCCCACTGGGAGCATCCAAAGCTGACTGCAAAGCCGCCTATCGCAAGCTGGCCCTGCAGTGGCATCCCGACAAGAACATGGGTGAGTCCTGGGCAGCGCAAATGTGTGGGCATGGGAGGAACCACGAATTGGGGCTGCCAATGATATCCTCACACCTGTCATTCACATCACTCAACCTTCATCATCAACAATCTTCCACCCTTTGCAGACCGGCGAGAAGAGGCAGAGAAGATGTTCCAGAACATCTCCAAGGCCTACGAATCACTCATGTCCACTGACGAGGATGCCACCATCCAACAACTTGCACATTGAGAGGTCAAGTTGTTTCAGTGTTGGAAGCTATGTCCCTCCCTGGCATGAGTTGAAGTTCCAAGCAGTGGTGGGCATGTGGGTGGAGAGCAAAACATCACACCGTCAAATATCACCCCGACAGCCTCCCAGCCCACCATGTTGCCCCTGCAGTTCATGCCACTAGGCAATCAGGAATCTGCCGCACACACGTTCCCCGCCGAATGAGGATCGTGGCTTGGCGCAAAGCCGCCCACAAAGGGCCACGAAAGGGGTGCGGAGAGGGGGGCAGGCATCGACGCAGGAGGAGGGCCCCCAAATGCAGAAGGGCAGAGCTCCCCAGCCACAAACAGGCGGAACGACAGCAGCCCGGTCAAAGCTACTTTCACATCTCGCATCACGAGAGAGACACGACACGCAGGATTTGCAACCGTTTGGTGCCCCAGTGACTCTGCAGCTCCAGTTCTCCTCCACTTCTCCTGTGCCTGTGCTTCTGGGGTTGCAGGGTGACGTGGCAGCAAGAGCAGGAGTCGACTTTGATGAGTTGTCCTCGTCCGCCGCCTCCACCCTGAGAACCCGTCGCAGGCAACAGAGAGGCCCTACTTAGGGGCCAGAAGGGTGACCTCTGATGCCTTCCCCGCAGATTGAGCCGACCAATTGCCGGCACCGACAGGGGTCTTCTCTGGGGGGGACTCAAGAGTCACGCTCTTTCTGGAAGGCCGCCATACACTCACAGTGCAGGCAAGTTTTGAAAGCATCGATGGGGAATAATCATGGAGGCATGCAGCCACATGTGGGTTATTTCGCCTACGCTTGGGCGTCAAAGACTCTGGAACAGAGATCCAGAGCATAGGCAAAAGGAGACCGAAAGAGTCGCTCTCATTGAATGGCAGACGTTCAGGCTGTTCAAGACGGCGGGGCATGCGCCAGCCAAAGTGTGATATTATTAGTCAGTCAGCTCTCCCATCTTAGGGTGAGAGTACTTGAAGTGCCAACATCGGACCTGTACGCCACTGCTTGAGCGTAGGATGCGAGAGCTGTCGTCGCTGAGGTCAGCGTTTTTGTCCAGGTCATGAGATGGCTCTGGTAAGCTTGGGTGGAGGCTAATACCAGGCCACCAGCTGCTGAGAAGAAAGCGTAATTCACACCTTCTGGTGGGTTGTCTACGAATTTCAGCGAAAATGAGAAGTCATTGCCGTTCTTCGTGACGCTCCCGTCGATGTTCCCAAAGATTGGGGGGGGTGGAGAGGGTCCCAGAGGGGGTGGTGAAGGATTGAGCAGAGCCAGCGGTGTCGCCTCATGAATATAGAGGCCACCTACGAAGATCATTGCGGAGCCAAAGGAGTAGGCTGCTGATAGCTTCGAATCTCGGCCTTTAAAGGAAATGGTGGTTGTTGTGTCAGATGGTTGATTCTCGTACACTCTGCCCAGACCGGTCAGGTTCGATGAGAACAGGGAGCATTGAATGTAAAATGGTACATATCGTCCTGTTGTGACAACACAAGTGATATTATTAAATCCATCCTTGGGAGCACTGAAGTCGATTGTGGCAGATGCAGGTGGCATTGGAGGTGGTGGAGACGGTGGTGGTGGTGGTGGTGGTGATGGAGGGGGACTGGGTGAAGGAGGGGGGCTAGGCGGAGGAGGGGGACTGGGTGGAGGAGGGGGACTGGGTGGAGGAGAATGGCTAGGTGGAGGAGGAGGACTGGGAGGAGGAGAGGGGCTGGGGCTTGATGGCGGTGGCGGTGACTTCTTGGCGGGAGGGGGAGGGGATTTCTTGGCGGGCGGCGGTGGAAACGCGAGAGTCCTTGCATTCTTGCGAAGCTGAAGCAAGTTGCAATCGTTGACGACTTTGCGATCCCCGACGCTGTTGAAGCAGCGGTTGCCCTTGCCCTTGTTGGCATCTCCCCAGTTGGCAGTGCCCACGTTAGAGTTACCTGCAGAGGTAGCACCATATCACTGTTTACTCTGTTTCACCCAGGGTTGCAGCAGCAGTGCACATTCTGTATGCCGTTAATAACCCCTGCTTTGCTCACCAATGTTGTCATCCCCGACGTTCCTAGTGCCAAAGTTGTTCTTGCCCTTACTGCCGGAGCCGATGTTGCCACTGCTGTCTGCCGTGCACGCCTTCTGGCCCGCCTTGAGGCACTCCACGGCCACCAGGATCTCCGTAGAGCGTGGTGTCACGATCTCCAACGTGCTCATGCGGATGGCACTCACTGAGAGACCCATGATGTCGAGAGTGGATTTGCGGACAGATCCCGCCTTGTTGAAGCCCTTATGCCTGCAACATGTGAGAGGTGGGCGTGCATAGATCAGGGTGTGCTTGTCATGGTACTTGTAATATTCCATGCCCTCCTGATGGTGAGATTGACTGGGTCTGCTCCGTGATGTGCCAGCGCATACTCTGATGCGCCCCCCCCCCCTTCTGCGGTACTTACTTGCAAATGACATCTGCACTGTCGATCGTCGTTAGATAAGCATGGGCTCCCAGACTACAAGACATCAAACACATGAGTAATGATGACATGTTATCGGGAAGAAGAACCTAACCAAGATTCGACTCGAGTACAAGGTTTATGTGCGTGAACAGAAAAGCAGGCATGCCGAACCGCTAAGAGTTGGGTGGGAACACGGATACTGGGGCCCTTCCGGAGCCATGTGCGCGGGGTCATCAGGCGGAGAAGGACGTCACCGGTGCCGCACGAAAACCCGCTCCCCTCTCCGACCCAACAGGCCCCAAATGAACAAAACACACGTCTCACATTGCACTGGGGAGGGCGATGAAAGTGGAGCTGCATGTGGCCTGCGGTGGCCGGGAATGCTGAGGAAGTGGGTGAAGGAGGGGCGAGCGCAGAATGGCTGACGTGGGATCGACCAGCGAGCTCTCCAACTCACCGCGGAGGCACATCTGGTCAATAATAGCACGAGACCAGTCATGAAGATACAGTTCCTGACGGCCGGTGACATTCTGTGCCTTGCGGTGCTGTCACTGTTCCGCCTACTGAACGTGTTTGCGGTACGTTTGGGGTGCACTGCCTTTCTGTCAGCACTCCTTTACCACGCTGTTCAGTGGTTGAATACTCCCCTGCAAGGCTTGGGATGATTCTTCTGTGAATTTGCTTTAGCTATGGTCGCAAGGTATCGCGTTCGACGCAGAAGATGCTTGTCGCGGAAATCCGGAGGGAGCCTTCCGGTGCCAACGACGAAACGGAGCCCGGTGAACGAGGAGTCCGATCTACGAAACCACCTCGCAAGGTACAGCAATCCAACAATGGATCCTACACCAGCACATCACAGGCCTCGTCGTCCGTTGGATACCCAATAGAATATTGATGAGAATGAAAGCTTTTAAAATCTCACCGCCGCTTCAGGATTAGCGCCGCTGCATCTGGAAGACCCTCCGGCATCCTCGTGGAATGTCGTGTCGTATCCTGCAGAGAGCAACATCTTACATAGAAAACCCCAACCAGCAGTGCGGCTTGATGGCGGGTCTCATGGCCAAGCTGCTCTTGAATGAGCATGCCCCAGGCGAGCAATGCGTGTATATCTGGCAACATGTCGGGACACCCTCAATGGTTTATCTTTGATAGACAAGTATTATTTCAGTGGATCACTCGCTGCCTGGTCCATCCGTCAGGTGAAGCAAGCCCAACGCCCTTTTCACACTAGCGACTGGTTTCACCAGTCGCTCGAGAACGAGGATGTCCGTGGAGACGCTTCTGCTCGGAAGATACTTCAACAACTTTAAATCAATTCGACAAACATTGGCAGGCAAACAGTTGATTTGAGACGTTCATCGGAGTTTGTTATGTACGATCATGCTCCGCAAGATTTGACACATGAGGCTGCCGGAGGGTAGTCCGGATGCGGAGATGCCATTCCTGAGGCGGCGCTGAGGAGTTCCAAAGCTGCCATCGCCATCGGGTGACTTGTCCTGGAACCAATGGTATATGAGGCCTGGGACAAAGAGTTAGATTGCTGAAAATCGGTTATCACTCCCTTGCGAGTCAACTGAATGGATCCAACGCCGCTTTCATTCTGCATCGTTATACCATGGGACACGGCAGGGTCTTTCCGGATTTCCGCGAGGAGCATCAAGAGCTTTGCTCATATTTCCCTGCACCCATAAACGCTGCAAGCGCAGGGGCCCAGTAGATTAATTGCAACACTTGCAGCGTGATATTCGACCGAGGTCGAGCGAAGAAAAGGCGTACCGACGCAGGGCAACGCATCTCATCCTGACCGCAAACACGTTCAGCATTCGGAACAGGACGAGCACCGCGAGGTGCAGGATGCCACCGTCCGTCAGGAACCCTACCTTCCTGACTGGCCTCGTCCTGCTGCTGACCAGATGTGCCTTCGCGGTGGGTTGGATTGCTCCCTGGTCGATGTCGATCCCACGTCAGCTGCCCTTCGCGAGTGCCCCATTTTCGCTCACTCTCCCCGCTTTCGGGCACACCGCAGGCCACATGCAGCTCCACTTTCGTCTCGCTTCCCAGTGCAATGTGAGGCTTGGGCTTTGTTCGTTGGGGGAAGAAGAGAGCGGGGTTTCAAGGTGCTTCACCCTTGCCGTCACTGTTCACACAAAGCCCTCGCGCACATCGCTCCGGTCGAGCCCGGGGTCCCTATGCAGCTCTCTCTAGGGCTGACAGACCTGCTTCTTCAGTCACGCACGTATAGATTGCACCGGAGATGGACCACTAGCGCATGTCTCTTCCCGACCCTACGCCAACAATTCGCGCATACTTTCGATTCCCTTGCAGTCTGGGAGCCCATGTGTATCTGACAACAGTCGACAGTGCTGATGCCATCTGCAAGTAAGTAACGCATGGTTGGATGTTTGTACCAGAGCATGTGCTTGTACATCACTGGTTTGCCTACGTGAAACAACCATCAAGCAGCTGCAGCATCTCACACGTGCCCACCTCCATCGAAACACGTCCATCTCTCACAAACGAAAGGTATAAGGGCTTCAGCAAGTCCGGGTCCATTCGCACCTCGACCCTTAACATCATGGGACTGTCCATGTCAGCCATCCGCATGAGCACCCTGGAGATCATGACACCACGCTTTACGGAGATCCTGGTAGCCGTGGAGTGCCTCAAGGCCGGCCACAAGGCTTGTACGGCAGACAGCAACGGCAACATCGGTTCCGACAACAAGGGCAAGAACAACTTTGGCACCAACAACGTTGGGGATGACAATATTGGTGAGCAAAGCAGGGGTTATTAACGGCATACAGAATGTGCACTGCTGCTGCAACCCTGGGTGAAACAGAGTAAACAGTGATATGGTGCTACCTCTGCAGGTAACTCCAACGTGGGCACTGCCAACTGGGGAGATGGCAACAAGGGTAAGGGCAACCGCTGCTTCAATAAAACAGGGGATCGCAAGATCATCAACGACTGCAGCCTGCTCGAGTTCGGGAAGCATGCATTAGTCCTTGCCTTCCCGCCCCCGCCTGCAAAGAAGTCTCCGCCGCCCCCGCTCAAGAAGTCTCCGCCGCCGCCCGCCAAGAAGTTTCCACCCCCACCGGTCAAGAAATCTCCACCCCCGCCTTCCAAGAAGTCACCACCGACACCCGCCAGGAAGTCACCTCCGCCGACTGCCAAGCAATCTCCTCCACCCTCCGCCAAGAAGTCTCCACCCCCACCTACCAAGAAGTCTCCACCCCCGCCGGTCAAGAAATCCCCACCCCCGCCTTCCAAGAAGTCACCACCGACACCCGCCAGGAAGTCACCTCCGCCACCCGCCAAGAATTCCCCACCCCCGCCCGCCGAGAGGTCGCCGCCACCGCCCTCAATCCAGAGCCCTCCTCCTCCCAACCCCCCGCCCTCACCACCTCCACCACCTTCCCCCCAGCCCCTCCTCCTCCTAGCCCCCCTTCTTCACCACCTTCACCACCTCCATCGCCTCCACCGATTCCCTCCCCACCATCACCACCGCCACAAGCGTCTGCCACAATCGAGTTCAGTGCTCCTAGTAAAGGTTTGGTTGACATCACTTTTGTAGTCACCACAGTGGTTTCTATACCCTCCGCCATTGTTTGCACCAATATCTCATCAGGTTAAGCCGAAATTGATGGTACATCTGCCATACCTCACTCTGCTGTCACCACTCTTCGCAACAGATTCCGAGAATAAGAGATAGCAGGAAATTACTCCTTTGGCTCTGCAAGGGTCTATGGTGCTAACAATGAACTCGAGGAAGTTCTACCGCTGACTCTGCTCAATCCTTCACCCTCACCTCCGGAACCCTATCCCCCACCACCAGCATTTGGGTCCATCAGCGGGAGCGTCACCAAGAATGTCAATGACTTCTCATTTTCGGTGAACATTGTAGACGTTACACCAGACCGTGTTAGATGGGCTTTTTTCACTGCAGCTGGTGGCCTGATTCGGGCTTCCAGAGAAGTATACAGCACACCAATGAGTTGGACCACCACTCTGGAGTCAAGTGAGACCGCTCTTGCGTCCCACGCCCAAGTTGTCGCGTACAAATTCGCTGGCGGCACTTCAAATGCTCTCACCTTGAATTGGTAGGGCTATGAGACCACGGGAAGGAATCCCTGGCTAGCTCAGGCCTACCTAGAGCATCATGAACGTCTGTCATGTCTTCACATGGGACTCCTGTGAAGAATCTTACCCTGCTCTTCCTTCATGTTTGTAGAGCTGTCCACGCCCTTGCCTACACATATTAGCCCACCTGTTCATGCAGTACTCCACATGTGTTGCCAGTTCATGTTTGTAGCGAGGTGGCCTTATCAGTGAGCATTGTTATTCAAGCAGGAACGCGACTCCCAAGGCTCAGTTCGATCCTCTGAACCGCTACCTCAACACCTTGTCTGAACCTCACGCCAACACTCTTGACCATGAGATTTGTACGAGAGTCAGGCTGCCCCCAGCAACAAGAACGAGTCGAAGATCGGTCAGAGGAATGAGTTTCGATGGGGGCAAGGGCCCCTCAGGCACTCGAGACAAGCTGTGCATGGACTTTTAAATGGTAGATTGCCCATCATGCACAGCACACTCCCCATCGCTGTCAGAGCCAGGTCATGCCCTCCTGGCGGATCTAATTCAAGATGCCATGGAGTGTCATTGTAGGGACCTTACCCAGGACAATATGTAGGATAAGTTGCCCTTTGAAAGGAGTAGGCCACGCAAGATAAGTCAGACCCGGGATGCCCAGTGTCCCCGATCCCTGCATTACCAGCAGATCACTTATCGCTGCTAAAGGAAGCGCACCGTGATACTCAGAAGCACCGTGAAAGTCAGACGCACGAAGGTCGAGTCGAACTCGGATGTAGCAACAATGATAGCACTGCTGGCCAGTATGTGCTCCCCAGTGACCTCTCAACAGCTACCTGGTTAGACCAAGAATCCATGCCGGCCTTGTCAGTGGGGGATTGACCGCGGTCTTGATCCCTGTCTTCTAGATTGAAAGTGGAAATGACTTTGGTGAACACGAGAATGATTAGCCGGCTCGCGCGCCGTCCAATCGGTTCGGCAACAAAGAGTTAATCTTCGTCTTTGAGCCCCGACCTACTCCCTGCTTCAGAATTGAGCATCACTACCCAGTTGGAGAGTAGCCGACCAAAACGTTCCCTCTGCAAATCGGCGGCTTTGATCCCCAACAAGGATATGTCCATCCTTGTCACCCTCCGCCGCCCCCCCCTCCCTCACTCCTGGATGGATCAGGTTCCAGACCCAACCCTGGATTTGAGTCGTACAGGGTGAACCCCAGTATGTTGGGTGACCAGTCCTGTCCTGTCCTGATTTTTGCATGGACACGCCCTGCAAGCATAGCATCAAGGTATCGCACACTACATGCCCAAAACGTGCCACCATCTCATTTGTTACCTGGACAGTGATTTGAGCTGGACTGAGGAATGCCATGACCGCATGCGGCCAGCTGTGCGGAAAGAGGAGGAGGCTGCAGCAAGCAGAAGTGTCCTATGGCTTGTGCGTTGGTTTCTCTAGACTGTCGAATGTCTCTTCATCTGGGTGTCACACCGGCAATCCATTGCTTTCACCTATGCCAAGCTGTTGATGGACCCAACTACTTGTACACCGACACAGGGCTCATTGCGGCATCCACGACGGGCACTTTCAGGAGTCAGGGAAGGGAGCCGGGGCCAGTGTCAGACCTGCCAGATGCCTCCCCTAATGAAGGTTTGACCATTGTGGAGGCTGTACACCCAAGGACCAGACAGTGCCACCACCCTACACCTTGTGGACAGTCGCAGCACACCACCATTGCTGAGCATCCCGGGCAACCCGGGACCCCCCTCCCAGACAAACATAAGAGGTCGAGAAGTAGCACAAAAGTTTTCTGGCACGGCTCACCCGTGTAATACAGAAGGTGATGCAGAGGGAGCACCACACATCCTACAAGCTCGCGACGGAAGCTGTGCTACCTGTGCTGCCCGCTTGATCGGCTCAGACCGTCCCCATCGAGTGGCATATCAAAGACAGAACTGTCGAAATCTGTTTCCATCTTGTGAGGGAGGGGAGCAAGAGGCGGCAGACTGCTTCAGCAGGCAAATGAAGGCCAGGGTGGCCTTGTACCTGCTGAGTAAGTCGTGAGACCTAACAAATCGACCAGCATAAGGCAGGCAGTATGTCGAAGGGGGCATCTGGGCCCTTACAAGAGCTGAGGGTGGGGTGGGGGGAGTCCTCATGGCCGCCAACCCCTCGAACGTGGAACACAAGGCACGATCAACGTGTTCCGAGTGCACACCATCGGCCGATCACTCGCAAACTTGGTGATTCTATGATGTTATGTAAAAAGAATCTGCCTCGCAATGCGTTCGCGTCCCCTAATGGCCACGGCAGGGCCTCTCGAAGGGGCGAGATGGGTCCCACCTAACGGGGTACTCTCGGAGTTTAATCATAATATTTTCGCATTAGTGCTCATTGTTGAAACTTGATTGGGCTCTGATGGACTGGTTTGGGCGTTGAGTATTGTGACCAGGATGGCCGCGCCGGGATTCGTCGAGGCGCCCACCAGATTGGCGGGAGTCCGAGAATGGTTTCAAAAATTTAAGCAAAGACTGTGGTGCAGGGCATGCGAGCATAATGCTTCGCTGCGTGTACAAGGGTAGTGCAAAAGTCAACATACTAATACGGCAATCCATAAGGCAAACAGAAACAGCTGCTGGTCTGGTTGGGTCCCTCGACGATGCCACCACGGAAGCGGCCAAAGCAGGCCGTGAAGGCTCCCCTTCAAGAAGCAGAGGCATCGAGCAGTAATGACGACGTAGGTCCGGTATCTGGGATGTATGCTCCCGTATGCACGTAAAGCTCGCGGAACTAATCGAGATCCAAGCCCAATCGTGCATTCGCCCTCTGAACAGGAACCCCTTCCCTTCGTCATTCGGGGCTCCTCTACAGGCAACGAACGCGCCACATTCTTTGGGGCCAATGCAGCCAGTGGGAGCAGCAAAACCATTGCCAATCTTAATCTGGAGGGCCTAGGAGACAAGACACTCCATGACGTCTTAGCACAGGTCATAGAGGACTTTGGGCCGTGGGTCGCATGGGAGAACCAGGCAATTACTGGAGTTGAAATAATGATATAAGTTTATCAACCCAAATGCACCGTGCAGCTCCCAGTATTGCATGCTCAAGAAAAGGAGACTCTGCTTGCGCGTCACAAGGCCGTGTTCCCCTCCATGTGGCAACAATGGAGGTATGAACAGGGTGCTGCACTTTCTCTTACATCCCTCGCAGTTTGTCAGGTCCCATCGATCCACCAGACCAATTACCCCATCCAAAGCTACCTCCGACAACACACAGGGCTGGTCATAGCCTCTTGTTTCATGGGTTTGGCTCCAAAGCAGGTTTACTGGCCGAATTTGCAGCCAAGTGGACCCTGGACGGCGCATGCTTCAATGTAAACGGCCTGCAGCCCGGCCTGACCTCTCAGCACATCCTCGCATGGGCCACAGCGGCTGCAAAAGGGTCCAAGCCTGCCCTGTATCGTGCCTACAAGCCGGCTGACCTGATGGAACTACTGACCTCCCCCGGGGGAAAGCGGGTGTATGTCATCATTAACAACATCGATGGGCCAGGTGGTTATTGCCAGGGGTCTTGCGTCGCGCCAGGGCAGCTACCAGGGACGTGGAGTGGCTTGGATGCCGAGCCTTTGTGACACACCGTCCTACGCTACCAACCTGCCCCTTCCCTTCATACACACGCTGCTGTCAGGGTTGAGGGATCCTACATCCCAGCGCCAGCTGGCACTCCTCGCTGCCGTGCCAAACGTCCACCTGGCCGCCAGTGTCGACCATGTGAATGCTGCCCTCCTCTGGGATCTCCAGGTAGGTGGGGGTCTGGAGGGACCCAAGTGGAATTATCGTCAATGACATCTATAGCCTTGGGCCTGTGCACAGCAATCTCCAGAGCCTGCTCAGGACCCTCGCGAGCTCCAGGAACCCAGGGACCTCACACAATCACGCTTTCTACCCACATTCACTTGCCAGACTCGGGACCGGTTTGCCTGGGTGTGGCACCACGTGCCCACCTACGCCCCTTACCTGCAAGAGGTGGTGCATGCGGCCATAGCCCCCCTGCTGGTGGGCAGGAGAGAGGAAGAGGCCAAGAAGGGAGCGCTGGTGGTACTGGCGTCGCTCTCCCACAACGCCCGGGAGGTGTTCCGCCTGCTATCAGAGCAGCAGTTGGGTCCTGACGGCGAGCAAGGTCGGTGGAGGGACGAGGCGCTGCAGGGGACAAGGGGGTGGGGGGCGGATTTGGACCGCTGAGAAAGTGTTATGCTCCTATACCAGTGGCAGCGAGGGTGGCAAGCCACTTGTATTGCAGTGGCATACTCTGAAGGCCGCCTCAGGTCATACTTGTTTCCCATCTTCCCACAAGCAGGCATCGCCTTTGACAGACTGTTCCAGCTATGTCGTGAGCAGTTCCTGGTGTCGAATGAGACACTGCTGTCCTCCTTCCTCACCGAGTTCCGTGACCATGATCTCTTGAAGGCCAGGTATGGGGACGGGCAGAATCGTGTTGGAAGCACAGGGATTCAGCAATGGAGTGCTTGGGGAAGTAAGCCTGACAGAATGGACTACTCATAAGTGGAGTAGCCCCTCCATCCCCTTGTTGTGCTTCCTTTCTCAAGCTACATGGCAGTTGCTGACATGTGTCAGACCTCCTCCCTTTGCAACCCCGATGTCCAGGAGAACGACGGAAGGGTTCGATCTGCTGCACCTCCCTTTTGCACCAGATCACCTGCAGCAGCTGCTGGAAGACCTTGTGTCTCTTACTTGAACTCATGTGTATTCAACAGCTGTGCTTCGTCCACTGACCCTATGGGCTTGGTTACCGGAATGCCGAAAGTCACGGGAATGGAGCACGAAGAATCCGATGAAGTACGCAGTACCGGGCTGTCAGGCTGTCAGGAAATTCCTCAGAGGGGTGCAGCGCCTGCTAGTTGAAGGACCACTTGTACGTCTTGGCGCCCTCAAGGTCGGGAAGGCAGCTCTCCCATTCGTCTGTGTCGTCAGAATCAGTGTCGATGGCCTCCATGCTGTCGAAATAGTTCCAAGGCTGCACAAGGCATGGTGTTTTCGAGGGAACAGAAAGATGAGTACTGCAGGCAGCACAATCAGGTGACATGGCAAGAGATGCAACGAGTGTCTCACCCAGGCAACCAACATGATCCCGGCAGCTCGACGCTATGCACCTCACCTTGATATAGAAATTTGCACCAAAGTTGGAGATGAGAGGTACATCCTCTGCCCGGGGTATATGCTGCACCCCTATTGTCACCCAGCCAATAAGGTCAGTGTTGGTCACGCTTTCGCCTGTTTGTAAAAGAGCGAGAGGGAGGTTGAGAGGATGGATAGTCTGATACTGCTTCGACGCAGGGCTGGGAGGCTGAATGCTTGCTCTGCCTGATGTCAAGGTGAGAAAATGCATTGGTCAAGTACCATGCTAGACTCTTCTCCTCCAAGCTCACTTCACACCATACCATCAAGGTAGTTGTCAAGATTTACGATGGCATCAGCTGGATTAAAGAAGTCGTACCTGCAAGAAAGGTAGAAATGGTAGTTAAGATATGTCTAGCCAGTGCCCGGGACCTTCACGCATGGACCCGATCCCAGTCATGTGCAGCATCTCAGGGGTGACAACCTACATGGAAGCATGGCTGCGGTACTCGTTGTCCTTGCTGCGAGTCACGGCAAGATGATACTTCGTCCATGCCGCAGCTGGCGAGGGATAGAGCAAGAGAATAAAGGGGATACAAAGCTAAGGATATGAGGTTATAAACCATAAGTAGTATCCAGTCAATGCACCAATGGCGTCGACTCAACTCTTCAATCATGGGACGACCCCACGCTGCACTCGAAACCCCAGTAGCCACACCCCGTACCCTTGGTCAGAGGATGCTGCGGCGGCAGAAGCTGGGCGGTAGTCACACCAGACTGGATGACATACCCGCGTGGCATGCCCCACGCATTGGTTTCCTTCTCGTTCACAAATTGCCACACCTGTGCGAGGGGAGGTATTGATGGATTAAGGATTGTATGCCAAGCGAGAATTCACCTCGGAACAGGCACTATCCCTTCCTCTCCAACATCATCCACACGATAGCCCCCCACACAGTCACTTACCGTGGGCTGGCTGGCATTCATCACCAGCCCGACTTCCTTGTCGGGGCGGCGAGTGGATATGTACTTGAGAACAGGCTCCGATATCCAGCCCGGCGCCTCAGCACCTGGGTCGACATCCTTCAGCGCCTCCGCAAATGTGCCGGCCTTGACCGTCTGTGACAGGGTCGTCGGGCGCCAGGGCAGTGTGTTGGGTGGGGCAGTTGCGAGGATGACTGGCCTGGAGAGAAGCCTCCCTCTCACACACCCGAGCACCACACAGCGGCGTGCCGCAGTCCCTCAACCCGCGTCACCTGGGTCAGAAAGGTATTGTTCACGCCAGCAACGTCCAGGTCCACCTTCCAGCCCGAAAGGTGGTCGTGCAGGTTGGCCAGGACGTTGGTGTGCACCCGAGTGCCAAAGGGCGTGTCCCTGCGGGTGCCACCCCCAGGGTCAAAGAACAGCGTCGACATGTACCCGGCCATGGTGACCTTGACCTCGATGGAGGCGTCGCGCTTGAACCTGGGTGGTGTTGGAAGGGAGTGGGCGCCGTGCTGTTTGGTCGGTGGCCGGACAGCGACACTGTGCTATACTTTCAGCGCTGGATGGAACGCATCAGCATAGAATAGCAGCCAGCAGCGCCCTGACCCTCCCAATCCAGCAAGATTCTGTGCAGTATCCGATGCACCTCCCCATCTGCTTCACACGCAGAGCAGTGGAAAGGACACCCCCCCACCCCCGGCGCACCTGACGTCAAACATGTAGTCGTAGTTCCCAATTGTGGCCACGGTGCGAACCACAAACTCCACCGCCCGCGCACCGTCGGCGTGCGGCCCCCGGCTGTCGCCGACGTGGGTGTGCCTCCAGGTGGGTGACGCCATGTCGTCCTCAAACATGCAGATGACGTCCTCCTGCCGGGCCGCGCCAGCCGTCCCATACTGCAGCTCTGATGCGAGGGCGGGAGGGGGGGGTGTCACCTCATTTGGCGGGCAGTGTATGGCAGTTGGGCCCCAGCGCCACACTTCTGCCCAGCAGTACAGCCCCAGCTTGACACGGCCTGGTGTGCCACATACCCGCTGTCTCCACCAACATCGAGGGAGCCTTTGCAACTGTGAGGAAACCCTCCGCTCCACATCCCAACTCACCGCTTCCCAGGTAGGCAGAGTTCCAGGGGCAGTCGTACCCCCTCTTCAGTGCCCTGGTGTTCTGGCCGATGCCAAACGCGCTGTCCAGGTAAAACGTCTGGCCGTCCCCTGCGATGAAGGGCAAAAACCCCACGCTTCCCTCAGCGACCATTCAGATCGAGCTTTGCAGGGCTTGAGGTGACGGGCAGCACCGCAGCCTGACCGAACCCTTTGGCTGCCAAACAAATCCCTGCTTCCACTTCACCACCCGTGCCATCACAAACACCCAACCACCTCACCTCCATATCCGCTGTACGACACGTACATGTCCTGGTGTGACAGCTCGTACAGGATGCGGCGGCCCTTGTAGGTGACGTCGTGCAGGGCGATGCCAGTGTCGCCGCGCAGCGTCACATGCCCCTCCCAGCCAAACCACCGGAAGCGCCTGCCCGTGTCTGCAGCCAGCGCGAGGAGATGGGGCTGTTTTGAGAGCAGTGCTGAGGGGAAGAAGCTTCATAGGCACAGCATGCATTGCCCAGGGCTAGGACTGATTCAAACTCGAACCCTCCCACGCACGCCGCGTGGAGCTGATGGCAAAGCGCAGGCCGCGTGGCGAGTACTGGCGGGGCCCGGGCTCGACATTTCCGGCCCGGAGTCGGCGGGGATCTGTGGTGGCCCAGGTGTAGTCGTACCCGGGCGTCCCAAAGGCCGGCGCAGAGCACCTCTGCCAGGGAGCGGTTTGGAGAATGACTGAATACGAGCAGTCACAGGGCAGTGGCTGCATTGCCCCTCGCTGCCACAACAAACGAACACAGAAGTGCTGTGCACAACCAGGTTCTTACAGCTACAATGACAGCTCACCGTGATGCTGCCATCGCTGAAGGCCTCCAGAAGGGCAGCTGCTGTGTCGAAAGGTCCCTGATGGCAGTATTCAAAATCAAAGTTTCTCCACAAGCTTGGGTTGGGGTCTGGATGGGATTGTGAGCAGGGGCCACAGGTTGATACCCTTGGCCGAGTGGCCTTTGACTTGGACCGAGGCAAGGACGAACTCCTTGCCCAAACAGCATGCAGCCTCACTCCAACTACTCGGCACCTCACCAGTCTGATCCATCTTGAAAGAGAGGGGGAGGGGGTGCAGGTAGGCCTCCTCCCCTCCACGCCCTTCAGGCACAAACTGCCATTTGATCAGTGCTACTCTCTTCATCATGTCTTTCTGTAGGACGGGGTACTCCAGCCAGGACAGGAAAGTCCAGTCACAAGGATGCCTTTGGACTGCGATCGTGGTTGTTTAGGGTGCAGGTGTGATGCTAGCCACGAGCTCATCCGCCATGTCACGTTACCAGCCAGATCTTGGGTGCCCGGCTTGACCACAGAATCACCTGGTATGCCTCGGGCGTCGAAGGCTGTAACGTTGGAGGGCTCTGGCAGGTCAGAGACATCCTCCACCCAAGAGGCATAGCAATAACCTCCTGTCATGCTCAGGAAAATATCCTTGAGCTCAAACGCGCCCTGCACTCGGTTGGATGAAAATGGTAGGGGAACTTCAGACACTTGATAGAAATTCTACAATGAATTGTATGCAGGAGTAATTTCACCCGCATTCTGCAAGCCTGTCCCTGGCTCCATGCTGAGACTGAGCAAACCCAGCAGGACTCGCAACCTCCAGGACCTCCTAGCCGACCGCACCTTGCCTACGGCTTCTTGTCCCCATCCGCCAGAAATGGAGTCCACGGGGTGTTTCACAAAGGGTATCTCACCAGGGGCGCGTAGGGCGATGGTGGTGGTGGTGTTGCTGACTGGGAGGGGACCCACCTGCACATGAATTTCATGAGTGCCACACCTAATGGATTGATGCTGGCAACCTGCCAGCTCTGCATATATTAAGAGCAACACGCCCAGCGCCATCCGCGCGGAGGCCAATCCAGAGCTCACCCGGTACTCCATGATGTCCCGTGGGCTGGCTGTGCCGCGGTAGGTGATCACATGGGCAAAACGCTCCGGCTCCGGCCCATGCCCATCCAGGTATGCCACCGCTGCAGCTTTGGGTGGAGGCATGGGCTCGATGCGATACAGGATGTCCTGGGTTGGCTGCAGGGGTGCAGCGTGATTGTGTTGAGGGGTGAGTCTGAGAGTCGAGGTGCAGGGGAGATGGGAGCAGGGGCCGTCACCTACACCCCAAGCAACGTCCAGGCAGGATGTGCAATCAACAAGCACCTGAGGACCTGGGGAACCGTCCGGAATGGTGGAGGGGTCTGTAAGTCGTAAGGTGTCGGTCACGTAGGCTTTGATGTCGTCGGCTTCCTCTATGCTGAGGCGCTTGGCGAGGGGAAGGTCTTGTCAGCGCCTGGGGAAATGCCTGGGCAGCAGGAGATCGAGACAACATCAACCTGAAACACAGTCTAGTTCGCTCCAATCCATTGACTCACGTAAATTGGTCAAAGATGTGACTGCGAGGGGCCCAAGCACCATCCAGGACTTTTGCGGATGCCGGCTGAGGATCAGCGTCGCAGCTGGCACACGCTCCCCCGTTTGGTTCCGTGCCCGAGTGGGCTGTACTCAGGTGTCTTCCTACGATACGGGTTATATCAAATGTCACCTGAGCTCTTTGTATCAGCGCTTGTTCGATCCAGGATCCTCCAACTAGAGGACTACAGCCTCCCCTACCTGAGAGAAACTTTCGGTCGCCGGGGATGACATTACCGACGCCAGGGACCATATACAGTGACCCAGCTATGAAAGCAACCATTACAATGAAAGTGCAAGATGCCTGATTCTTGGAGGGCCACGCGCAGTCTCCAAGCAATCCATTCCGAACTGTGCCGCGCTCGTCGGGCATGCTTCCCGCACCTGACTCGTTTAGCGCATGCCTCACAGAGGTTGGCACTCAGTGGTGCTTTTGATCCTTTAAAAATGTCCCAGCACTCGTTCGGATCAGCCCCAGCCGTGTGAGCTGCATGCGAGTACAGGTGCATCCCATGTGATCGATCGATCGCCCGGTGCCGGCCGGCAACGAGCATCTTCGGGGGGCGGCCACGTGCTGGCGGCCCACCTAAATCACGTTACACAACATTCTGAGTATCGTAAGGGCAATTTCAAGCTTGCAGGTTGCAATTTCATTTGGACATGGTTAGTTCCGCAAGTCGTGGCTCCACAGCGGCAAATATTTCTACCCACTTGACCCCACCCACCATGGTGGGACCCTGGTGTCGCTCAGCACTGTGGCAAAGCGTGCACTCTGGATGGCATGCGTGCCACGCCCTACTGCCTCTGATCCGTGCAGCATGAGCGAGCGGAGGTCTGGGATCTCCAGAAGTGCGTCCACTCCCCTGCAGGTCAGGTTCCAGCAGTACTGGAGCTTTGCCTTCTCCAGACCCCGCGCGGAGGTGGCGAGGGCTTTGCAGCTGATGTCTCCTACATTCATGTCAAAGAAGTCCGCCTGCCTCAGGGTCTGGGTGTTGAAGGGGAAGAGGGGAGATGCACTGATATATCATTGTCCGAATCAGTCAAGGCCTGGGCTGGGTACAAGCGGACGTGCTCGGCATGAAGGCACCACAATCCCTCGGGCCTGGCCAAGGCCTACCTTCGTGCTCATCAGCTGGCCAGCAATGCCGTCGTCAGAGACCTTGGCAAATCCAGTCAGGCTCAAGCTTTCCAAGTGGGTGAGGGTCCCCAGCTTCTGGAATCCCACATCTGAAATCCTGGAGCAGCCAGACCTCAGGGACAGCGTCTGCAGCCTGTGGTGGTTGGGTGGTGAGGAGGTGACAATGAAGCGGGCGGGTTCCTCCACGAGACAGAGTGTGGGCGGCAGGAGTGCTGAAAGGAGCCGATCCGCAGAGTGCTGCCCTTGGGGCCCTCATTTTCAACCGCGTTTCCCCAGTCGCCCAACCTGGGCAGGGATGAGAGGAGGGCGTGCATGCCCCAGTCGGTGAGGCAGCTGCAGTCCGTGATGCACAGCTCAGCGAGGTGGGGGAGGAAGCGCAGAGCGTGCGCCACGCCGTCGTTCAGGCAGGCGGGGTCCCGCAGGGTCAGGCGGTGCAGCGCGGGCAGCGTGCTCAGCGCGCCGCTCCCAGAGCGCAGGAAGTCGACGTGGGACAGGCTGAGGGTGTGCAGCTGTCGCAGGCTCCCCAGGCTCTGCAGCGGGGAGTGCCTCTTCCTGGAAGGAGGGAGAGGTTGTTGGCGTGTTGAAGTGTGGGAACGCGTCCCAGGGGACCCTGCAGGGATGGCCAAGAGGCACGTTGCTCTGCTCCCCGACCCCTCCCTGGCACAGCTGTCGGACTTCACTTCCTCCCCTCTCCCCCTCTCCCCACAGTAACCCTGCCAAACCCCTCCCCCCCAACGCTACTGTAAACCAAGTCGATCCTCACTCACCCCAGCAAGGTGTGTAGCGTGGGTTCCACATCCAGGTGCAGCTCCCGGAGCGCCGCCATTTGACCCAGGCTGGCCATGCCCGCCTCGCTGATGCCAGCCAAGCCCAGGATGGTGAGGTGCTGCAGGCGAGGCATGCCAACCACGAGTCTTGCCAGGAAGCCGTCCACCCAGTCCCTCCAGGAAACGGCGGCCAGATCCGACTCGAGGACGAGGCACAGGCTGGCGAGATCAGGCAGCGCCCCCAGCCAGGCCGCGCCTCGGAGCTCACCGTGCGGCACCCCGGTCAGGGTGAGGGCCGTGAGACGGGGGAGGGAGGCCAGGTCAGGCCCCACCTCGTGCAGCGGGGCCTCCAGGGAGCGCAGGCGGGGCAGGCGCAGGAGGGCCTCGGACGCGCGTGCGGCGCCGTCGCCAGGATCAAAGCCGCAGCGTCCGACGGACAGGTTTCGCATGCGTGAGAAGTGCGACAGGGTGGCGCGCCCCGCCAGCTGGAAGTGGGAGAGGGTCAGCTCGCGCAGGCCGTCCGCCAGCGGCAGCAGCACGGCGCAGTCCAAGCGCTGGCGGTTGCGCGTGGAGACCAGGCATAGCATGCGCAGTGCGAGCAGCCGGCCCAGATTGCCCAGGTGTGGTAGGCACGCGGGGCGCGCCGTCAGCGTCAGGGAGGCCGTCCGGGGAAAGGCGGCCGGCAGCCGCGCCACGTCCGCGCCGGCAACAGGCCTCAGGTCCCGAACGGCGGAGGAGACTGCGGCGCGCCAGGCTCGGCTGACTAGGCGGGCGGCGGCGACGTCGTGCAGGGACCTCAGGCTGGTTACCAGTTGCTCGATCAGGACGGCGGGGAGGATGAGGATCGGATCCATGGTGAACTGTATGTCAGATGTGGGGTGTGCAAAGGGGGGAAGTGTACATGGGACACTGCAGCCGTGGACCCTGGACCGGGGGCCAAGTCATGGGCATCTCCGAAGCCCTGCATGGGCAGGGTGCTCGGGCATGAGCAGCAGGACGCACCGAGGTGTCGGAGAATCTACCGGATATCAGGGTAGCATCTGTTGAAGAACCCTTTGACGCCATGCATGGTGCCGCATGGGCGGGGAAGCGCCCAGGCTGGACTACCTGCCCCGCACCGCCTGTGCCTATGAAGAGCACCTATCAATGTCTGTCTCTCGACATGCTCCTCTGTGTCCAGACACACCGCCGAGGTTTGTCCTCTAGTTATCTAATGGGTATTCCTCTGGATTGGTCTCCCACCTTTGCATGTAGGCCGTCGAGTCCAAGGCACAGCCTGGTCCTGCAAAGCCAGGTGGCCCATACTCCCGGAACTTGGGCCTGAATTGTGTGCTGCGCTGGCCGGGACTGAATCACCGATCTGTGACCCTGTCTACCTCTGTAGACTTGTGAGAAGAGACAGCTGATCCAACACACATGACCTTTTCTTGCAAACCAAACTATGCGCTCATAGACCTGCGCGTTCTGGTCTGCCTGCACCTGTGCACGCAGGGATGGTCGTCCTCGACGTCACCCCCCACTTTCGACAACTTGTGGAGCAGCGCAGCACACAGAACGGAGCCCAGGCGGTGAGTCCTATCATGCAGAATGTTGGTATCGCGGAGCATTGGCGCCTGCCTCGGGAGGTTGTCCACACTGGATCAAAGAGGACGGCAGGCTATTCCCTCCTGAATACAGCAGAGCCAGGGTCAGTCACAGCAAGCCGCCCAGCTCCTACGATCCCTGGCAGCACGTACTGCCTTCACCAAGGCCGCCAATGAGATAGTGCGTTTGGTGCTGTGGAGTCGAGCCCCTGTGCTCTGGGACTGAGGAAGCGTCTGGTCCTGCCGTGTCGGCAGCGTCCCATCCACCAGACCAAGTGCTCCTCCCTCTTCCCTGCAGGCCCACGACATCACGGCCCTCCGCCGTTTCCTGCGTGTGAACCAGTATGCATACGCCCAGATAGGTGACTTTGGGTTCGTTCCTGAAGTGCTACAGTGTACAGTTCGCCTCTCATATCCGGTACGGCCTCTCCACACTCCAATCCCCCTCCCCCCTTCCCTCCACTCCCCTCAGGCCGCATGTCCGAGGCGGAGGGCGACCGGCTGGAGGGCGAGATCGGCTCCATCGTGCGTGCCTGCTCCGCCAACATCCAGCGCCTGCACTCCCTGCTGGAGGAGGGTGCCCCCGCGGGGGACGGCACGCCCGACGTCGCCGCGCACCGCGCAGGGGCCGTGCTGGCGCTGTCCGAGCGCCTCGGCGCCACGACGGCGGCCTACGACCGCCTGCGCGCGCTGCGCCGGCAGCAGGAGGAGCAGCTGGCGGTGCTGCGCCGGCGACGGCGCGCCAAGCCCCCGGCGTGCGATGGTCAGGCCGCGCCGGCGACAGCGAGTCTGGCGGTGGCTGGCGGCGGCCATGTTGCGCCCAGCGATCCGGCAATCCCAGGCCTGCCGCCAGACGGCCACGGAGGGTCGGACCTGCGGCAGCGCGGGGCTCGCACTCCACTCTCCCCGCTGCAGGCCCCGCCCAGCCGCGGCTTTGCAACCTTGGGCCACGCTGAAGCGTCCACCGTCCTCCCTTCCACGGCATCCCAGCGGCAGCAGCAGGTTCTGAAGCAGCGGCCCGCCGAGTCGGCGGCCCTGCACCGCGAGCTGGTGGAGCTGAGCGGCGCGGTGGCCCAGGCCGAGGCCAGCGTCCGCGAAGTGGCGGGGCTGAACCAGGCCTTCTCGGCCGCGGTGGCGCACCAGACGGGGCAGATCGAGGCGCTGTACGCCGAGGCGGTGCGCGCCACGGGGCACATCGGCGCGGCCAACATGCAGCTCGGCAAGACGGTGGCGGCGGGGAAGGGCGCGCAGCGCACGCTGCTCGTCTTCATGCTCCTGGCCACCCTGGGCCTGGTTTTCATGGACTGGTGGCACAGTTAGGAAAGAAAGGAGGGGCGTACGTGCATGCGGAGCGGCACGGCGGCCGGGGCTTGCAATGTGCGCTGCGGAGCATCGACGGCAGGCAGGCCATCATGGGGCGGCGCTGTGGCATCACTCTGCCAGTACCCGAGCGTGCCGCGACAGTGCAGGAGGCACTGGTGCGGTGCCGCGTGGCCAATGCCGACCCCCCCCCCCCTGTGGGTGGTCTGCCAGTGCCCGAATGGCGCGCCTCAACTCAAATGTGTGATTACAGGGACGGTTTTTAGTGCGGAAGTGCAACATGAACTCTGACTGGGCCTGGCCATCTGAATCCCCTCACGACACGACACGACAGGGGCCACGTCGCACGGTGGCAGGGGAGTACTTGGCCTGCCCCGCCGGCGGGGTGGAACTCACCCACGCGCCTCGTCCCCCTCAGTGCGCCTTGCCGTTGGCGGCGGGCTCCTGCAGGACGTAGGCCGAGGGCCGGTTGAGGACCTTCTGGTTCCAGAGCTCGCGCACGATGGCGCGGGACATGTTGAAGGCCACGTCGGGGCGCAGGAAGTAGGTCTTGGGCCGCATGTTGGTCATCACCTCCGCCCACTTGCTCATCATGGCGTCACCCTGGCGCTGAGCCTCAGAGGCGCACGCGTCCATGATGATGGGGTACTTCCACAGCAGCTCCGCGCCCTTCTGGGACTGCAGGTGTGGGCAAACAGGGGGGAGAGGTGTAGTGGGAAGGGTGGTTGCGGCGAGTGTCAGAGAGGGAGGCGCAAGAATCGAGACAGGGAGGCGCAAGAATCGAGACAGGGAGCTGGGTGAGAACACCAGAAAGTGGGGTGACCATTTGGAGTGGCTGAGGGCCCGGGCCATAAGGTTCTGTGGACTGAACCATGAGCACAGGAGGGGATCGACGGGAGCCACGATGCTGGGCACCCAGGTGGGAGGATGAAATCCAAGACCAATCATGCCCACAGCTGTCAAGCTCCACACCCAACTCCTCAAGCCGCGCCCAGCCGGGTGCCGGCATTGCCCCCCCCAAGACACAAACAAAGCCCACCAGCTTGAAGTCGTGGCCAAACAGGTCCATCCAGCGCTGCTGGTACAGGCGTGTGGAGCGGGAGGAGAAGTCTCCCGCGGCGCGCATCTCCAGCAGGGTCTCGGCGGCCACCTTGCCCCCCATCATGGCGGTGTGGATGCCCTCGCCCGTCAGCGGATCGATGTGCCCCGCGGCGTCGCCGATGATGAGCAGGTGGTCCGCATAACTGGCGGGCACGCCTGTGTGGGCACGGGGAGGGGGAAGGGAAGGGTGTGGAGAAACCCAGAGTACAGACGGATGATGACACATGTGGTGTGGGGTGAGGTGGGGGCGAGTGTGGGCCTCGTAGGTTTCACACGCCAGCTTGCCACCCCAGGAGCTCCCAAGCACTGTGCAGGGACCTGAGCGACATCCTCACCCTTTGCAATGTCCCCGGGGTCACTGGTCCTCACGCCCCTCGAGTCCCCTCCTTGAATCCACGCCCCCCCACCACACACACACTCACCCTGGCTGCCGATGCGGAGGGAGCCCGCGCGCATGCGCTCGATCTTGGCCTTGGGACCCACGGCGCGAGAGATGAAGGGGTCGCGCTTCAGCGCGTCCTCGTGCAACCGCTTCAGGTCGTCAGCCTGGTTGTTGAGGTTTTCAGGTTGGGCAGAGGAAGGATGTTGGCTCGAGAGGAGGTGTGCGGTGCAAGGCTGTGGAGGCCGAGGCAGCAGAGAGGCTCCCCTGTTCCCAGGGCATGCAGGTTTGCCAAGCCCCTGCACAGGCACCTACTCCCCCGACACCCGCCCCTGCCTCTCATCCCCCTCCTCCTGGTACACAACCCCCACTCGACGCACCGTGACGTTGCCGAGCTGGCCCTTGTCGGCGTTCTTGCCGCAGGGGATGAGGTAGTAGCAGAAGCCCAGCTCGTCCTTGGCGTGCTTGAAGATGGCGGCGTAGCCTGGCAGGGACCAGCGCGGGTAGAAGCAGACGCCGTCGAAGTCGGTGTTGTGCGTCCCGCCCTCGATGTAGGCGCGGGAGGACACGCCCTGGGGCGGCGCGGTGCACAGGCCCAGCTGCGTGGCCAGGCGCGAGGTGGAGCCGTCGGCGCAGACCAGCACACGGCCGACCACGGCCTTTCCCTGGAAGGGGGGAGGATTGTGGGAACAGACTGCATGAGTGTTTGCTGCAAGAGGAGTGTGGATGGGGGAAGGGGTGGGCATGCACGAAGTGAGTGATCAACCAGGATCCTGTCTGGACTGGGCACCACGGAAGCCACCCCAGATCTCCCCTGCACTCCACTTCAACCAACCACACGCACCTCCACGGACTTGACGGTCCAGAGGCCCTCCTCGGCGTCAAAGGTGACGTCGGTGCCGACCTCGAAGCCCTCGCGCAGCTCGGCGCCGGCGCGCGCGGCGGCGCGCGCGATGCGGTCGTCCAGGTGGATGCGCTTGACGGCGCCGGCGGCCGCGGTGCCCAGCTTGTGCTGGGAGTTGCCTGAGGTGCGAGGGAAGCAGTGTGGGCTGGTGCTGTGAGTGACGCCGGCCAGCGCCTTGGAACACCAGAATGACCAGGATTCACATCCTGCATCGTGCTTCTCCGAATTATGCGTGCTGGCTTGGCAAATGGGCTCAGCATGCCACGGGAACCCTCCCCACACACAACACACCGATGTACGCGAGGCCAGAGGGGGACACAAAGCCGCCGTTGTCCGCCAGCTTGATCTCGTCGGCGTCCACCAGCTCCTGGAAGACACCCATCTCCTTCAGGATGGCCAGGGCGGGGGTCACCACCGCGTCGCCGCAGATCTTGTCGCGGGGGAAGTGCTCCTTGTCCAGCAGGGCCACCTTGGCGCCCCCCTTGGCCAGGTACCAGCCAGCCACGGATCCAGAGGGACCTGGGGGGTATTGGATTTACAGAAATGATACCGCGCTCGGGGCTCGAATCAGAAGTTGTGAGCCTGATCACGGCCGCACCCCCCTGCGCCGGTCCCAAACAACCCACCTGCTCCGACGATGATGACATCGTAGGCGCCGGATGGAAGGGTTTCGGGGGTGTAGGACCCATTGTAGGGCTTGCGCTGGCGCAGGGCGCGCTTGGCCAGGAGGGCACCTCCGAGCACGGCGGTGGCCGCGCCCGCAGCGTAAAGCTGGGTCTGGCGGTCCTTCCAATCCGCTGCGGGGAGCTGGAACTGGACCATGGCGGTGATATGAGAGTTAGTCCAGGTAAATGAACATGAACGAAGAGAAGGGGTGCCAGCGGCCGGACAGGCTTTTTGAAGCTGCCGAGTTTTGAAAGAAAGAGGGGCGGCCTCAAGGGGCAACGAAACCTCTGTCACAAACAACCGATGGGGCCTGGGGTCGATTACACTGTGGTCCTGCTTCGAACAGCAGAATTGTGCCTCCCACTCTATGACAAGCTTCTGGAGCTCGTCGCAGCGCGCCAGGTCTTCCGTCGTGTAGGGCAGCGGGGCGGTCCCTTCTCGTCGACCCTCCTGGCCATGCAAGGTTCCCTGCAACACGCTGCTTGACGGGCAGCCGGAACCTAAGCTGCACTTGAATACACTCCGGCGTCCACCAGGCGCGCAGCACCTGCTGGGACGCCGATGAACGCCCCCCCCCTCCTGTCCAGAACCTTCAAGCATTTGGTGTCCAGGATCCGGCGTCTGGGTTTCAATCCCCCTCCTGAGGCGGACCCCGACTCCGAGCAGCGGTACTCGGCCGACGAGGAGGGGAGTGGGCGGGAGGACACCCCCACTGTCCTCACCAAGCTCCAGAAATGGGTGCGTGCAAAAGGGACGTGTGAGGACCTGCCTGCAGGCTGGCTTGTGCCTGGGCCTGAGGGCAGGCTTGAGTGTGCTTGGGATACACCATGTGGAGCAGAATAGAGGAGAATCGAGGGCATGAGGTACCCTTGGGGTGGTGTGCGGCACGAATGAGTAGGCACCAGGCTCCTCGCCGTTCCCTGCCACCATGTATGCCACACCCCTGCCGCCGCCCTGTTCGGCCCCGTCGCTCCCTTCCCCGTTCAGTGGCCCCTTTTCATCACGCCTTCCCTCCAAAACCCCCCTTCTCCACCCCCCAGGGTGAATACAGGGCCGTGGGCGAGCCGGTGGGGCCCACCCGCTTCCTGCCCATGAAGACGCCGATGTCGGAGGAGATCATGGACAGCTGGTCCCTGCCCCAGCCCTGCGCCCACCCGCTGACCGTGGCGCGGCTGGTGGAGGGCCAGGCGGCGCGAGGCCGACGCGTGGGCGCCATCATCGACCTGGCCAACCACGAGTGTCTGTACGGCGCCGACCTGCCGCCCGGCCTGCGCCACATCGAGGTCCAGCTGGTGGCCAAGGTCATCCCCCCCCGCGCGGCGGTGGACGCCGTCGCGGCCGCGGCGGCCGCCTTCTGGGCCGAGCGCCCCGACGACTACGTCGCCATCCACTGCGCCTACGGGTTCAACCGCACCGGCTTCGTGCTCTGCTCCTACCTGTGCCAGGTGCACGACATGGGCGTGGAGGACGCGCTGGCGGCCTTCGCGGCCGCGCGGCCCCCCGGCGTGAAGCACCCCGCCTTTGTCGCGGAGCTGCACCGCCGCTACGACCCGGCCGCGGCACGGCGCTCGGCCCCCGCCAGCGACGCCTCGGGCGAGGAGGAGCGCGGCGACGAGGAGGGGGAGGCCGCGCAGGCCGGCAGCGCGCTGCCCCCGCTGGACCCCGCCAGCGCGCGGAGGAGGGAGGAGCGGCGGCGCCGCGCGGCGCGCATCTCCCCGGGCGTCGGGCGCGTGGCGCGGGCGGCGGCCGCGGCGGGCCAGCCGTCCAGCCCCACCCTCACCACCTCGGCCTCCATGGAGAGCGAAGCGCACAGCCTGGGGTTTGGATCGCGGGAGGCCCTGCGCCACCTCAGGTGCGAAGGGAGGGGGGAGGTGTGTGGGGGGTGGGAGTGCACGGGGTGCAGGAAGAGGTTGGTAGGAAAAGTTCCTTGACAACTCATGCGGGGCCGGTCGCCACAGAGCGCGAGGTGTCGTCGGCATGGGCGCTCCCGTGTTCACCACGCCGACGGCGGCCCTCTCCCCCTGTCAATAGGCACGACATCGGTGTCGAGGAGGTTCAGGAGTCGGCTCACGCCCGACTAACGGGGCTGTTCGACCCCGAACCCGCCTGCGGCCTGTCCTCCCACGCTTTGGATTCGAGAGATTTGGGCAATTGCGCCATCGATGGCACGGTGGAGAGGGCACTGTCGTAGCCAACGCGGCAGACTCTTCCCAACAAAGCTCCTGCGCCCTCGTCACACGATGGGTTGTGCCACGTAGCGTGCGTGCCTGCCGCCCTCGGGCACACTCCCCCACCCTCCGGCACAAGTGGCCGGTGTTGACCCCGCCCTCCCCCATCCCATGCCCTGCAGCAATCCCTTGCTCTTGCATCACGTGATACGCCTTGCCCCTTTCGGCCCTTTTGACCAGCAAGCTGCCCGCCAGACGAGAGCGAGGCGGGAAGAATTTTCTCTGAGATAACGTGGTAAAGCATGCGTCCATTCCACTGCTCCCTCACCTTCTCCTGCCTCGGCAGAGCCCACCAGCCCAACCGCTTCCTGCATAGGACCCACGTCAACAGACCGCCATTGGTCATTTCAAAACCAGCACTTTGTTGATGCCAGGTGCACCTTGCCAACTCATCAACATTGGTACTTGGACGGCCAGACGAGGCTGGCATCGTGAATACGATGGTGTCGGATGCAAAATACGGGAAAATCGCTAGCTTTTTGCAGCTGTAGTTGTCCTGCGCGCGCGACCAGTGCTCGGACTTCCGACGAGGCGTGTAGCTGCTGAAAACAAGTCCCTCGCGCATGGTGGGTAAATTGTAACGCGAGTCTGGTACTCTACAAGCACAAGCAAGGAATAATTCTCATCCAGTGGACGCCCTGTGCGGGTTCTCCAAGTCAAGGCCGACGACCAGATACCTATCACGCGAGGTGGCGACCTAGCTCTCGCTAGACCGTCGAAGCTCCTCACAACGGACTCGAATCTTTTCTAACTGCAATCTGAGGACTTGAGTACTCGGTGATCGGCTCGCTGCGATCCTGTCTGAAGTGGGGATCGGTACCTGCCTCACCCGACACTCGGAACGCAATCTGTCTGAGAGTCTGATCGCACGGGGCAGCTTTGATCCATCAGAGGACCGGTGCCATCAGCGTGGTGTGGACCTGGCTCCATGCGCCCGAGGTTCGGGCCAGGCGAGGCTGAGTCCTCACGGGCCACCACCACCAGTGGCTCAGCCCCCGTAGGCACCATCCGCAACCGCAGCGACGTGTTCTTCAGGTACCGTCGAAACGCCCGTGCGGGCAGCAGGCCCCTCCTCTCACCTGGAGCGTCATCAGCAGCACTCGATGGGTGAGGCGGCCATGGAAGATGGTCCTGCGGCGTCGCAGCAGGGTCTGGAGGACAAGGGATGCTGGCTTGTGCCAAACAGGCAGAGATGGCGTCAATTCACCCCTCAAAACCTGGCCCACGCCATGGCTCCCTCGCAGGAACGAGACGGCGCGGCTCATGGCATCGGCGCTGGGGGGTATGTCAGACGCCGAGGTAGGCCCCGAGCCGCCTCAGTACGTCACTTTCCGAGAAGCTGCCCGAGCCGAGATGCTCACCATACGCACCGAGATGACGGAGCTGAGGGGCTTGCATGGGCGGGCCACCCTCAGCAGGTTTGACGAGAGCAACGACGACGAGATCCAGGTGCAGCATACGTGGCAGGGAGGGGTGTGTGGTTTACCTTGGTTCGTCATGAGGGAAGCTGCATGGGGGGCAGTTGTCATTGCGGCGAGGTTGCTGGACCCATCCACGTTGGTATCTAATGCGGTGCAGGAGTACTTGCCGTTCCAGGTTAACATGGTGCACCCCTCCAAATGCCATTGCACAAACAGGTGGAGGTGACAACTCAGCAGATCACCAAGCTCTTCCGACGCTGCGAGGCGCGTCTCCAGAAGTTTGGGTCTGTGCCGTCGGAGAACGAGGCCGACGAGAAGGTGCGATGCGGAATGTTGCCTGATCTGCAATCACGCACTGGGTCTGCAGCGTCCGCTGCTTTTGTGTATCCAGGTAGAGTCTACCTTACTACAGAATCCCCTTCTGTCGACCTTTAGCATCAATGCCCCAGAGGCCGGCTGTTTACATGCTTAAAGTCTCTTGCTTCATACACAACATCTGGTGCTCAGATCCCTGCCCGACACATTCAGAATTCCCCATCCACCTACCCATCCCCCCCCTACTCCCACGCCCCGCCACGATGCACAGGTGAAGCGCAACCTGCAGCGGACCCTGGCTGCGGAGCTGCAGGAGCTGTCCATCCAGTTCCGCAAGCAGCAGAAGGCCTACCTGGCCCAGCTGCGGCGGCGCGAGGCGGGCAGCGCCGCCCCCGGCGGCGCCCTGGGCGGCCTGGCTCTGGCGGCGCGGGACGGGGACTACGACACCGGCTTCTCGAGCCAGCAGGCGCTGCAGGCCGACACGCTGAGCGCCCTGATCGATGACCGCGACCGCGAGGTGGCGGGCATCGTGGCCAGCATCCACGAGCTGGCCCAGATAATGAAGGACCTGTCGGTGCTGGTGATCGACCAGGGCACGGTGCTGGACCGCATCGACTACAACATGGAGGCCACCGCCGCGCAGGTGACGGAGGGGGTGAAGCAGCTGGCCAAGGCCGAGAAGAAGCAGAAGCAGGGCCTAATGGCGGTGTGCATCATGTTCCTCCTCGTCGCCATCGGCATCCTGGTGCTCTTTGTGGTCATCAAGGCCATTGTATTCTGAGGCGTGCCCCGGATCCCGAGCCGGGGCGGGCACCCCGTCGATGGCTGTCGGCGCGGGGGCCGCGGGGGGAAGTGGTTCCCATGCACATCACCGAGGGCACGCTGTTGGTCTGCCCGATGTCACATCATGTCCCCCCTGCCACTGCCACTGATGTGAACATGCTCACTCCGGGGGGCAGCGGGGGCATCCATGTCCGAGATCAAATCTTGGGGACGCCGGGTCACGCCCTCCATCGGGTGCCCCGCGCGCCGTAGTCGCAACAGTTCCGGCAATAACTCTGGAGGCCCAGACTCCCGACGAGCACAGCAGCGTCCCCCAACCGGGCTAACCATCATGTGCTGAACAAGAAACTGTGCGATGGAGACGGACTACGTCAAGGCACAGATTTCGGGGCAGAAGGGAGAGGTGCGCCGGGGGAAGTGGTGGGAAGGGTTTCAGGGTTCGTCTCCCGTCGGCGAGGATCAGGCGACAGCTTACCTCCGGGCATTCTGCAGGACCGAATCATAGCCGTGCATCGAGCCTGGCCTCTGGATGACGGTGAGGGCGTGTCGGTGGTGGGCACCGCTTCCGAGTCCCCGACCAGCAATTTCCTGCAAGTCTGGGGCGGCCTCGAGCGGGATGCGGACGCCAGCAGGTGCGCTGCGTGCGGGTTCACGGGACGCAGGGATGATTTTCAGTGTGTTACCAGAGGACCGCGGGGCCGTCGGGTGCCCGTGCCCTCGGCCCTGACCGCCCACCCGCACCCCCACCGGCTCATCCCTGCAGCCCCACGACGGGCCCCGAGTACCACCTCTTCGCCGTGTTCGACGGCCACAATGGCGACGCCGCCTCAACCTTCGCCCAGTCCAGCCTGGTCCCGGTGCTGGAGGCCTACCTCCCCGTCCCCGAGATGGTGGAGGGTGTGGACGGCGCCGCGGCCTGGGCCGGCGCGGTGCAGGAGGCCATGGTGAAGACGCTGCTGGAGATCGACCGTCGCTTCGCGGCCCGCGGGGCGACGGGGGGCACCACCGCCACCCTGGTCCTCCAGATTGGCCAGCTGGTGACCTGCGCGTCGGTGGGCAACTCGCGCGCGGTGCTGGACACGGGCGCGGGGCGCGTGGCGCTGACGCGCGAGCACGTGGTGGCCAGCAACCCCGATGAGCGCGAGCGCCTGCTGGCCGCGGGGTGCACCCTGGCGCGGCTGGACGTCGCCGGCGGCGGCCCCGCCGTCATCTCCTCGCGCGGCACAGGCCCGCTCCGCGTCTGGCCAGGCGGCGTCACGCTATCGCGCTCCCTGGGCGACTTCAGCGTGGGCCCCGCCCTCCTGGCTGTGCCACATGTGGTGGCGGTCATGCTGCCCCCCGCCGGCGGCCGCATCGTGCTCGCCTCCGACGCCGTGTGGAAAGCCGGCGTCGATGCAGTGCTGGCCGCTGCGGCCGCCGCGCCGGCCAAGACCGCCGCGCATGCCGTGCTCAAGGCGCTCGGGCCGCGCCTGCGCGGCGATGCCTCGGTGGTCGTGGCCGACACGCTGCCGCGCGGAGAGACCTTCCCCCAGCTGGCTGCGCGCCTGGCGCAGGGGGGGGGAGGGCGCGCGGGGCGCCCCGCGCCCGTGCGCGCGCCCTCCGCATCCCGCCTCTGGTCCCTGCTCAAGCCGCGGCGGGCGGAGGAGGCGGCGCCGCCGGCCCCCGCCCTCTCCGCGGGGGAAGGCGGGGGCGCGCGCGTGCTCACCGACTGCGACGTCGCCACGCTTATGGGCCTGACCACGGTGACCCTGGGCGAGGACGACCCCCAGCCCATCTGGTACGAGGACTGCGTGGCGGAGGACCTGCACCAGGCCAGGGTGAGCAGGAATATGTGTGTGTGAGTGTTTTGGAGAGGAGGGGAAGGGAGGGCGGAGGTGGGGCGATTGTGACGCTGGATGGCCTGTGGCGGGGGACATGCAATGCCCTGGGCTGTGGCTGCGAGGGGCATGGGTGTGTGCGGCGCCGGCTGTGTCCCGGTGGGCAGCGACTGCGTGAGGTGAGAGACCTCTTGTCGAAGGGCGGGATGCGGTGCTCTCTCACATCATTGAACAAGCCACCCCGAGGCCAGCCCACTGGTCTGGCGAGCGTGCTGGCACAGGCACCAGCCGTGCTTCGGTCGGGATGGCTTGACCCCTCTTTCCAAACACGAACTACCACCCTCCACCGGCTGCTCCCTCACCCACCCACCCACCCTTCCTCCTCTCCACCCCCCTCTCCCCCAGGCGGACGCGTGGCGGATCTGGCCCGCTGCGCGCGCCATGGCGCTGAGCAACCCGGCGCTGGCCTCCCTGCGCCCCTCCCGCTCCATCGGCACGCTGTCGGAGCTGGTGGGGTGGAGCGCGCCGTCCAGCGGCGCCGCCTCGCCGCGCGGCGGCGTGGGCCGCCCGCCCGGCCGCCCCTCCTTCTCGCGCCGCTCCTGCCTGAAGCAGCCGGGGGAGTCGACGGACGGCGGGGCCAGCGACGCGCTGGGTGCCGGTCCCGGCGGCGCCTCCAGCGACGAGACCCTGGCCTCGCCCCTGGCCTCCAAGCGCGTCAGCTTCGCGGCGGGGGAGCGCAACCCTCTGCGCCGCACCTCCTCCGAGGCCGTGCTGGCGGGCTCCACGCCGCCCAGCAGCTGGCTGGGCGGCCTGTCCGACGCCGACGCGGGCAACGGGCGCGGCGGCGATGCGCCCGCGCCCCTCGGTGGCGGCGGCCAGGGTTCGGGCAGCGCCGGCATGGCCTCCATGCGCAGCCTGAGCCTGCCCCTGGCCGCGGGGCGGCCGCCGCGGCCCGCCGGCGCCCAAGGGCCGCCGGCGTACTCGGGGCCCGACTTCACCGCGCTCATCGGCAGCCCCACCACGCGCTGGCGGGACAGCTACAGCTCCACCGCCTCGGTCTTCACCAAGCGCGGCGCGGCGCGCGAGCGCGACCGCCTTCGGTGAGGCCTGCAACGGCGTTGGATGGCGCCAGCCGCGTGGCGAGGCCCCGGCCCCAGCCGGGGTCCAGCGACTCGCGGCCCCAGGACCCCAGAATGCAGGCCCCGCTCGCCTCATTGCGTTGACATTTCCGCTTGAACACACACACACACACACATACACACACTCTATGTTGCCCGGCCACAGCCCCGGAAACCTTTGCACCCCACCCACCGTCCTCATCATTGCACCCCCACCCCCCTTGACTGTGCGGTCCAAAGCGCAGCGGAGGGCCGTGCCCTCCCCTCGCCGTCAGTTTTCCCTTGAGCGGTCAGTTGCTGCGGTAATGCATCCCTTCTCCCTGCCACTTCCCTGACCCTGGCAGCCTTTGTCTAGCCCAGTCATCGTCCTGGTTCACTGCCTGGAGTGGCCCCAAATCCCGCTGCCCTTGGCCCCCAGCGCCACCCGGACTGTGATGATCCACGCTGCTCTGAGAATCAAAGGGCCAGGACACCGAACTGAATGGAAAAGGGCTGGACGGTCGACACAGGGGCATGGCAGGGGGGGCATCGAACCCCAGAACTCAGGCTCAGCACCAGCATTGATGTAAAGAATGCAAACACACCCTTGGTGTGTACTCCAGGGGGTGTGAAGTGATATGCGTGGCCCAGGCCCTGTTGAATGGGAAAGAATCATCAATCCTACGTCCCTTCCCCCGTCTCCCGGCCAGATCTTCCGCCCAGGAGGGGGTACAGCAGCGACACCCGGTTCTTGATCTCCTTCACCGTGTTTCGCGTGTCCTTCCGAAGGTTGACCAGCTGCTTGGCAGCCTTCCTCTGCTGGACGCGTGCGGCCTTCTGGAGCCGCGCCTCCCGCTGCTGCCACCAGGCGATGGTGCTCGAGATGTCCTGTGTGGGTGGGTTGCGTGAGACAGTGTTGCGCGAGAGCCGATGGAAAGCAGGCCTCCATCCTCTCAGCCCAGGAGAGGGTCGAAGCCCCCATCACAGGGCACGCCAACCTTCCGCCCCGCACGCACACACCTTTGGGGGCGCCTGCCACACCTCCCCGTCCTCTTCCAGCTCCTCACTCAGCTGGGCCTCCGTGAAGCCGCCGCTGGCGGCAGTGCCCGACCTCGCCATCACCTCCCCAAGCCACTGCCCGCCCAGGCCGGTCGTGGCCTGGCTGACCCGCTGCGTCAGGTCCCCAAAGGCAGACCCCAACCGGGCCAGGGGCGAGGTGTCGAACCAGGGGTGGCGCAGCGCGCCCTGCGCCGACAGCCTGTGTGTGGGGTGGGGGGAGGGGATGGGGCTGGAGGGTGAGAGGGTGTCTGGTGCTGGGCGTGATTCTTGGAGGACCACTCTGTCTTGAAGCATCAACACTGTCCGAGCCGCTGCACTTGATCGCCAGCGTCGCATGCCACTCCCTCGACATGGCTCGGGGGGGCCACATGAGCCCTCAGAAGACATGCTGGGACACACCCACGGCATCCATCCACGGGCCCCTGATCCCGCGCTTTCCTCACCTGTCCTCAGGTCGGTACTGCACGAGGTTGCACGCCAGGTCCCAGCCCGCCCCCCCGTCCGCATCCAGGATGGCCAGCCCCGCGGCCAGGTCCTTTGTTCCTCGCCGCTCCCGCGCCCGACGCCATGCCCGCAGGTCGTGCTTGTATGTGTCCGCCAGTTGCCTGAGCAGGCGAAAACACGGGACATGGTGGGAGGGTGCGTGGACATTGGGCCAGGTACGCAACATGACGTGAACAGACCCGCTTCTGCAACCCCAAACACACATGCAGGCCCCCGAGCTTGCCATCCACGCTGCTCTTGGCCCACCCCCGCGCCGTCCTCACTTGTTGAATGCAACCAGGGCATTGTCCGTCCTCAGCGGCGGCAGGGCCAGCTGCAGCATCATGATTCCCACAGAGTACATGTCGAATCTGTCTGGCGAGTTTAGCGCCCAGACCACGGGCGACAGCAGGGCAGCCACCGGGGCCGCAGGTGCCCTGCACAGCCGAGCAAGGGGGGGTGGGGGGAGGGGGAGTGGTTGAGGGGAGCGGTGTTTAGGATGCCCGTCTGGGCCGGTAAGGCGACTCTGTTCTGTTGGGGCGCCGCCATAGAAACATGCGCCGAGCCCCAGAGCGCAGTGCTGGCTGCCAGCTGGGCTGCAGCAAGGGCTGGGGTGGCTAGCACCATGCAATGGCGCATCGCAAACACCAGCAGGCAACTTGATGACCCCTGGGACGCACATTCATCCGGGCCCTGTCATCCCCAGGCAACATACTCCATAGCCACAAACCCACATGCCACCACCGCCAGCTGCCCCGCACCTGGGTGTGTGCTTGGACATGATGTACTGCTGGGGCGGGGCGTATCTCGGGTCCAGCAGGTACTGGTTCGGCACGTAGTTTATTCCGATGCGCAGGTCGGCCGCCGCGCCAAAGTCGATGAGCTTGATGCGGCGGTCCACGGTGGAGACGATGCAATTGTGCGGCTTCACGTCGCGGTGCACGATCCCTGCGGCCGCAGGGGAAGGCGACAGCAGAGAGGTGTTGAGTGGAGGAGGGCATCCCCAGGACATGACACTTCTCACAGGACTCCCCACCCCTTTTTTTGTGCCTCCAGTCTCAGGCAGGCCAGCCGGGCACCTGTGGAGTGGCAGGCCGCCAGGCCCTCCAGTAACTGCTGCATCACGGTCTTGAGCAGGAACACCTGGCCGGCCACGCCGGGTGGCACGACGCTGGGGTCCTCGAACAGCAGCGGCGCCAGGCACTGGGGAAAATCCTTGCGCACCATCAGCTCCGCCAGGGTGTGCTCCCCCTCGAACTGCCACACCAGCCAGAGCGGGTCGGTTGCGGTGCGCGCGCTGGGGAACTCCGTGAAGGCGGCCACGAAGTCCGCCACGGCCAGGGGATTGGTGCGGGCCATGCGCTCATTCATCCACGCCTCGGCCTCGCCAAACTCGGTGGCCTTCTTCAGGATCACGGGCCTTTGTATTGGAGGAGGGGGGGGGCCAAGGGTGAGTCAACAGAGCTCAGAGAAGCATGGTGGCCAAGCATGACCAGCCCATGTCTTGGGGAACGATGCCAGTTCTTCACATGGAGACACACAGAAGCCTGGGGGAGCTGTTTCCAGAAGTCCATTCCTCCCTCACGGCAGCAACACCCGCATGGTATTGCCGGACTGGCAACCCAGCACGGGCAGCCTCCCGCCGCCACCTGCACCAGCCCCACACCAGCATCCCACTCACCGGGTCTCTCCGGGGCGGCGAGGGTCCTTCATCTCAGCCCTGTACACCGTCCCGAACCCTCCGCTGGCCACCTTCTTGCCGACAGTGAAGTCCTCGCTGCAGTAGGGCTGGGCACGGAGTCGCTGGAGCGGGGCCTTGATGTATGTGTCGATCGCGCCAGGGAGGACACCAGGGGTGGCGAAGAGGTACACCAGGAGGCCCAGGCACAGCACGACGCCCTGGGGGTTGATCCCCTTCTGCTCCAACCGCAGCACAGGATCCAGGGTGCTGCAAGGGGGTTGAGGGGAGGCCAAAATGCGTGCGGGGCAGGCTACCAGGGTGGCGATCTCCAGTCTGCAGCCTCATCCAGGTCTGATCGCCCTGGCGGAGGCATGGCATACCCTTGGCCCGTACCTACCTTCTGTGGACCTGGTCGCCGCAGTTCTGGGTGTGGCATGGCAGAACTACGGGCTCGTAGGCCAGGGGCAGCAGGGCCAGCCCGGTGTTGAAGATGTGGAGTAGATCGAGGCTCGGAAGGGCATGCGCAATGTGCCTTGATCGACGCACCCGAGCTGGCCGGACATTCAGGGCGCCAAGGCGAAGAGTCTGAGCGGGCAGGATGCCTGGCCGCTGCGGCATGAGTCCGAGGGGCCTCATCGTGAGCCCGGCTCGCTGCATCCCATGCGTCCACGCTTGAGCGCCGCTCACAGGTGAGAAATAAACGGAGTGACCCTATGAGCTTATGCGTGCTGGACAGTTCTGCATGTGTTCTGCGCGGGTGGATTTCTACGACGACATGACCGCCTGGATCCGCAATCTGAATGCCAGGTCGGCATTCCGGGGCGGGGCCATTTCCCCGCGCCGATGGATTAATCGTGCCGGAACGAGTCAGCCTGGCCCCCATGTCCGCACTCCAGTGTGCTTAAATCCCTAATCAAATCACGGATCCTGGGCCGTGATCCCTGCAAATCTATTTGTATTGTCGATCTTTCGCACGCGACATGGCGGACCTCCTCACCCTCGCCTGGAAGCGCTACCTGTATGGCCTGCACTACCACCCCATCAAGACCAAGGTGAGAGGACAGGACATCGCGGGTCCAAGGGGTATTCCTTCGCTGTCTGCAGATCAACCAGGAAACCCTAACCCTCGCCCACACTCCGCCAGGCTGTCACTGCCGGGACCCTGGCAGCTCTGGCAGACCTGGTGTCCCAGCGCATTGCAGGTGCAGGCTCCATCAAGTGGCGCCGCACCGCCCTGCTGGCACTTTATGGCCTCCTCTACTCCGGGCCCTGCTCCCACTTCTGGCAGTACTACCTGGAGAAGCTGTTCCCAGACAAGCAGGACCCCCTGCGCATTGTCAAGAAGGTGGTGGTGGACCAGCTGGTGTACGCCCCCTTCCAGAACGTCGTGGTGCTGGCCTACCTGGCGAAGGTGGTGGAGGGCCTGCCCCTGGCCGCTACCATCGCCAAGCTGAAAGTGCAGTGGCCGACAGTGCAGGCCATGGGATGGAGGGTGAGTGTGAGGGTGTGTACAGGAGGGGGAATTGATGTGTTTGTGATTTAGGAGTGTGCCTGCCATGCCTGGCTTCGCTTGCATGGGTCCCAATCGCACTCTGTTGCGGAAGCTCTTGCTGCTCCCAGCAGCGTCCGAGTTGTTCCCACCACCCAACTAACGCATGCCGGGCAAGCCAAGGCCTCCAATAATCAGGACACACAAGGTCACGCCTCATCTCATCCCTGCCTCCCCTGCAGTTCTGGCCCTTGGCTCAGTACATCAACCAGAAGTACTTCCCCCTCCAGCTCCGTGTCATGTGGCTCAACATTGTCGCCTTCCTGTGGGGCATCTTCATCATGGTCAGCTCCCGCAGCTCCCCACTGCCAGCTGTCATCAAGAAGGTCTGAGTGGCGGGCAGGGCAAAGCCACCCAGAAGCCTGGGGCATGCGTCGAGGCATCCTGGCGTGCTGCCCATCCCTCACTGCCTCCAGGGTCACATTTTTGTTTAATGAACCCCACCCAAGTTTTTGGTGCTGTACACAAGGCAGTCTGCCCCAGCTTGAGCTCCGAACACACTCGTGGGAAATAGATGAGGGGCCAAAAATTATAGGGCGGCTGATGTTCATCACAGACGCTGGGCGTGGGTCCCTCGTATGGCTGGCAAGTACTCCTTCACGGTCGCCTTGGCCCTCCTTCACGGTCGCCTTGGCCCTCCTTCACGGTCGCCTTGGCCCTCCTTCATGGTCGGTCTGCCCCATGGGCGACCCAAACACGGCAGCTTCGACGTTTTCCAACCGGGTAGTCGAGCTCGTTGTCATCGAATGGAGGAGTTCAACCGCCCAGCAATGTACCCATTGTTCCACGTGCTCTGCTTGGGGGCCGCTGCACGCCTGGTGTCCCATCCTTCACCCTCACTCAGGCTGGCTGCTGCCGCTGTCTTCTCAGCCCTCAGGATGCTGCAAGGTGGAGTACACATGGTGATTGAGCAGGTGCAGAGAGTTACCAGACCCTGTGTAATTGTACAACTGGGGTATGTAATCGGCTGAACCCCGGGGTGCTGATCACCGCCAAACTCTGCAAAACCCCGCCAGGCTCACCTCACCACCCACGTCATGAGACGCAAGCTCTTCAGCTCTGCTATGTTTTCAACCTGCTCAAACACCTTGGCCTGGCCCTGGCTGAGGAAGAGGATGTGCGTCGGCCAGTTGTCCAGCCCGTCAAAGATGTGGGTGGCCTGGACGGGAGGACAGGGAGGGGCTGAGGGACATGTGGCGATGCAGCGATACGCACGGAACGGCTGGTGGACCAGGCTTGCAAGGTCGACACACCCAGTGCGAGCCATTTCGATCTCACAATCGCCCAGGCATGCCAAACACATGCAGCGCTGCCTGCGCCAGGAGCGACAGGTGAACCCCGACACAGGCGCGGCCCTCCCCCACCACCCTCACACCGCTCACATACACCACGGTCGCCTGCCTCTCCCTGCACTCCCTCCTCAGGAAAGCCATCAGGCTGGAGCGAGCCAGAACATCCAGGTCCACCGTCACTTCATCGAGCAAGAGGACCTGCATGGGAGCCATGCCAGAGGTTCAAGGACCAGGGGAGTCTGTCTCTCCTGTGCTTTGAGATCGGGTGCACCAGAGTGCAAAAGGGAGAAGCAAGCTGGGACCGTACGTGTCCCGCATCGAGGTAGCTCACCTCAGCCCTGTCCAACCCGTGCCCCCTATGCAACACCCTGCTCAGATGCAAGTTCTTGCTCTCGGACTCCGCCATCAAGCGGTGCACCTCGTCCAGGTGCTCCCACCTCGAAGGGGTGAAGGAGGCCCATGGCTATCTGCACACGCCGACGCTGCCCGTCGGACACCAGGTGCATGCGCCAGGCGGGGTTGATGTCCATGACCTCCAACAGCATCGCGCGGCGAGCCGCACCCACGCCCCGCACGTTCTCCAGCATGGCGCCGGCGCTGATGTCGGCCTGCACGGGGCATGAATCGTTTGTGAGGGCCGGTGTGGCTTTTGCTTTGCGTAAGGTGCATGCAGCATGATCCCGCGTATGCCATGGATTCTGTGAACATGTGCTTGTGTGCAGCTGCAGCTCCAGGGCAAGGCACCTTGCTTGACATGGCTTTCAGGTTTGGCCAGCTGAGCAGGTTTGCTCCTTCAAAGTCATGCCATCACCATCACACCCTGTGGCCGGCCCCCTCCCAAACACTTCGACCACAATGATCGATGCCCTCACCCTGAGGGGTTGGCTGTACCCGGCAAACGCCACGTCCTGGTCCCAGTTGCCCCCGATGTAGGATAAGCGGTTGGAGGTGGTGAGGTGCGTGGCGTGGAAGGGCGGCTCCCCCATGACCTGCAGCGCAGCGCGGTCCACCATGTGCTTGCCGGCCAGGACGCGGAGCAGCGTGGTCTTGCCCGCACCGTTGGCCCCCAGGAGGAGAGTGCATGACCCGCGAGGGAGCTGCAGCGAGAGCTGGCGGACGATGGGCTGGTCGCCTGGGCGGGGCTGGCCGTCTGTCGCGGGTGGGAATGGGGCTTGTGATCTGATGTGAGGGCGGCGGCGGGAGCGAGGAGGATATCTTCTCAGAATACGAACTGAATTTGAGGAGATAGGTGGGGGTCCAAATTATCCCCTACGTGTCGTTGCGCCGGGTGAGGTGAGGCCCCAGACGGAAGCACACACGCACCCACCAATAGTGGGGTACGTGAAGGTCAGGTCCCTCAGCTCGACTGCTGGCTGATCCATGGCGACGCACGAGTGCTTGTGCACTGATGTTATTGAAGTCTGAGTTGATCAGGATTTCGGCAATTACAACTGCAAAAAACCTCTTGGAAGTGAAATACGCCGTGCACTGGAACGCGCTCGGGGCTGCAATGGAGCGACACACAGGCCGGAGGCTTTGCTCGGTGATCACAGGAGTGGGAGAGGCGACTCGGGCATACCAGTGAGCTCAGGACGCCCGAGTTGAGCTTGCAAAATTTCCTTGGCTAGAGTGCCTCGCATTTGAGTGGCTGGGAACACTCACAAGGGAAACCAGTTTAGCGCGCGCAAGAGCCGTACTCTCAACATCGACTTCCGGCGACAAGCAAGAGCGCTATGAAATAATAGCCTGGTAAAGGGTCGACCAGCACGCAGCAGTGGGTGAAGAGTCGGTGCCTCGGAATATTCATCATGCCATCTCGCTGGCGGGGCCCGAATCAGAATGGCTGGAACTAAGATCTAACCAGATGGCCCAAACCACATTGTGGTAGGCTTTGTCAATTCTTTTATGATGATACTTCTGCCAACACAGGGAGCAGGATGACCTGTAGTAGCTTTGGAGTTCGACTGTTACACACCTAGAACATGGACTTGTACTGCTTTTGTTGGACACGAGGTCCTGTGACATCTCCGGCACTCGGCTGTTGCCCAGAATTTTGCTCAGCTTGGAGCAAGATTTCTCGTATTTTCTTTGCCAAGCCTGATCCACCGAATGATGAGCTTGTCTCTGCCTGTTCTAGGACCAGCTGCTGACGAGCTGTGAGATGCCTCACTTGCTCTTCCAACCTACCACAGATTGTGTTTCAAGGAAGTGAGAGGCATGGGAAACTATGGAGCGGGAGAGACAGTTGTACATTCTCCCGCACCCTGACCGGCACTCACCGGTCTGCTTTGGCTCGAAGCTTTTGCCTCTCCTCTTCTACCTCCTTCATGAAAGCCTGGAAGACAGCATGCTGGAGGCAGGTTCAGTGCTGCACACACCAGCATGACATGGCTGACCCATGCGGAGCTGATCAAGCAGCTAATATGGTGAGCAGATAGAGGACGCAACGCCCAAACCCAAACCACATCAAATCCAGCCAGCCACCGCACAAGCCATTCCCCCTCCACATCCATTCCTACCTCTTGCTCATACTTCTCTTGCAGCCTGTTCCAGGCCATGCCGAAGAGTAAACCTGTCGTAGCGATCCAGAAGATGCCATTCCCATGCTTCTGGAAGTACCGTACTAAGCGGACCTGGGAGGTCGCCCCAGCCTTTGCCCTCTGCAGCTCCTCTATCCTCTTGATCGCTTTCGTATGCGATTCTATATCATTGGTAATAGCCAGGTCAAGGCTGGGGTCTGCGTTGATGCTCTTGAGCTTCTTGAGTGCCTCATTCGAGCCGGCGAAGAGTTTGTCGACCTCTGCAGCGGAGGGGCCTGCCATTCCCGCGGAACCACCCTGACAATGCTGCCGGCGCTGAGCTTGTGGGGATTGACGCATACGCACAGGGTACCGTCGTTTGCCTCAAGGGCGCTCAGCTGCACGAGAGTGGCCTGCGCCATCATCGCGCTCCCGTTTGGGCGCCATTGCCGAAACCCCGAAACATATAGCTGGGCTATTGCATCCATGCTCCTGCCCCTGTGTCCATGCAGGCATATTTTATAGAATCAAACTGGATCTGAAATCTTTCGTCTAGTACCTATTGCAGTCACCACAAAGCTGGATTCGAGCCTGGCAGCGTCGGAGGGCTGAGGCCCGACCGTGAAGGAGGATGGACGAGTCCGTCGGTGGACTGCAGATTATGAACAAGGACAAGCACGTCTTCAAAGCTCCAGCTCCTCGCAAATCTGTCCTCGGTGAGTAGCGAGCGTGAGTGTGTCGGTGACGAAGAGAGGTACACTGCAGGGCGTGCTGTGAAACACGTCACTCACTCCTTTACACGCTCAGGCCTGGACCGACTCGCCGAGGAAAAGCGCTCTGAGCAAGCATCCGTGCTCGGTGTGTTGGCGGGAGAGCGAGGCAGATCCAGACTTAGTGCATGCATGGGCTGCACGGGGCAGGGCGGGGGGGCCCTGCTAGCGTTCTCTTCATGGTGCTCTACCTCCCTTGCCCTACCCCTTTTCCGCAGGCAAACGACCCGTCGTCTCTCTTGCCCGGGAGGAGGACGATGCAGACGCTCAGCAGGAGACGGGCTCGGCCGACCAGGCCCACACGTCCTCGGCAGGCCCAGCGGCACGCAGCTACCGCTCGTCCCGGATCGAGACCCCCTCCCACCCCGGCGGCGTCAGCGTCGAGGCGCGCCAGCAGCAGGCAGAGAGGGATGCACGCTGGCGCGAGCACCGTCGGGCCCCGGTGCACTCCCATGATCGCGGGGACGCGCGTGGCAAGGACCGCTTGCACAGATCTCGGTGAGGGGTGACACCGCTGTGCTCCGGGGCATGGACGGCGGAGGATGGCTGGGCCGGTGCTGGAAAGAGTGTCAGAGGTACACACGATTGGCCGTGCAAGTCAGCCCCCTGCCTCATCAGGATTCTTCCTCCCCTCCCCAGGGATGACCGGGGGTCTAGACACGGGCGGGAGGACGATCGGCGCCGGGGCGGGGAGCGGCGGGGCGACGACCGGCGGCGCGGCGAGGCGTCGGGCCGCGCGTCCCCTCCCCGGCGCCGGGCCTCCGACTGGGAGGCCACGCCTGGCAGGGAGGGGCGCCGCGACGAGTGGGAGGCCACCCCCCGCGCCACGCCCTCCACGGCACGCGGCGGCTCCCGTCACGCCGGCGCGGCGCGCGACACGCCCCGCGCCACGCCGGGGCGCGACACGCCCGCGCGCGC